AGTGATGCTTGTTGTCCTATTTGGCAAAGTGTCCTAACATTAAATGCTCCTATATGAAATTGGTGGCTTGGCTTTAAGAGGCTGTCGGCGGTGGTTTTTTGGCTTCCGTCGTTTTTAGTGGACACAGAGTGGAGAGGAAGTGAAGAGCTATCAAGTAGAGTAGTTGCATCAGTGGAAGGAAGGCAAGATGATAGAGATGAAGATGAAGACAAAGATGAGTGAGGATTAGAGAGGTTTCGTGTGCATTTCGGATTGTGAGGGCGATTGTTACTTCCCGGCTGCCCACACCGTGGAAGTTGGTTGCGTGACCGCAGAGCCCAGGGGACAACTGCTTGAGGCCGGTCACACGCGGCCTGTTTTTAATAATAATGATAATAATAATAATAATATCGCTTTTATTCCAGAAACAGTACTTGTGGTACAGTGTGGAATTTTCAGTACATATCTACAATATTGCATCTAATTTCATCGGACAGTTAAAAGGAGTATTACAAAAAAATATGTATTAAAAAAACAACAGCAAAAACCAAAAAGAAACACAAAAATAGAAAAAAATGCAAATAAAAATACCAAGTAGAAAGGAAGATAAGCACCAATAATGAAAAATATTTCAGTATTTGCTAGTGGAAGCTATGATATATGTATGCGTGGTGAACAGTAACAGCCATAATCCGACAAGAAGTTATGAAATGTTCTTAAGAATGTTTATAGCCAAGATGATCAGTTAATTTAATTGAAGTACACTAAACAATCATATAATAAACATTTCAGGTTTTTTTTTAATTGTCAGCACTAATGCAGTGTTTGTTGTTGTAGTGTGAGTAATCCTGCTTAATACAAAATTTGAAGATGGTGATAGTGGTGTTCACAAACAAGATTGTCGGTTAAATAGTGTTTGGTGTGTCTCAGTAGCATATTTATCACTTCTGCCCTATGACGCGGCAGCAGGAAGCCCGGTTGTTGTTAATCCGGACCCCGACCGATCCGGCATGGTATTTTGTGAGTTTGTTTGTATCATAGTATTGGATTGGGTAGCTGCTTTTTGTCTAACCGCTATCCAAACAACCTTTCTGGCATGGTAGGACCTCAAGAGACATAAGTCTCAGACAGCATAGTTTGTTGGGACATTGTAGTGTTGAAGCCTGACCACCACGTCAAGGTAGCAGCTTTCGGTCGGTCTCCGTTCCCGCTTCCTTGAGATTGAAATGAAGTCCATTTGGTTTTTGGTGTTTCTATCTAATGAAATCTTTGTCGCTTTGTGTATATCCTTGTGTTTGAAAACGCTGCCACCAATCACCAAATCATTGTAGGCGCAGAAGTCTGAGAAGAAAGATTTCACCATTGTCGTTCATTTCACTGGGAACCTCACGATTCATGGTGACTTTTCTTCTTGTGTTGTTTCCTTTCAGCTTCGCATTCATATCACGCGTCAGGATTTTGATATCGCTATTCGGGACGTTATCCATTACTGTTTTTAGTTGTCTGTAGAAATCTCCTTCTGAGACGTTTGTAGGCGCATAGCATTGAATGAATGTAACCTTCCTTCCTTTTGAGTTGAAAGTGGCTGTCATTATTATGGAGGATTTTGGTTCCCCCTGCATGAGAGCTTTGGTTGCTGTTTGTGACATTATGATGGCGGCTCCCTCGGTATGCTCGTGGCTGTCCTCTGGGTGACCGGAATAGATTATTGTCTCTCCAGTTGGTAGTTGGCACGTTCCACATCCTTTCCATCTGCTCTCGCAGATTCCCAACACTTCTGTTCTATATCTTCTCATTTCTGCTGCTACCTGGGCAACCTTTCCAGTTTCGTACATTGTATGAACATTCCGCTTACCTATCTTTATTTTTGCTTTCATCGAAAGAAGGCACATCGGCCGACTGGCTTCCCGAAGGCTTTGACCAGCCTGCGTCATTTCACTTCCCCGATTCCAGCGAAAAATAAGGCTATTGTTTATATTTTTAGAATTTTTAATATATTTATTCGTTGAAGTTTCTGTAGCGACTTGGTTGTTTTACGGGGGGTGGAGTTGCTAGCACCATGCCCCAACCCTCCATCTTTATCCGGGCTTGAGACCGGCTAGAAAACTATCGAGCTAGTAGAATAGACTGTTATACGTTTCATTAAAGATTAATGTTGTTGTGTAGCCTTTAGACACGACGCCATCGTCAAAGGAAATTCCTTCACTGGCTTTCTTCATGACTTAATAGGTACTTCCTATATTTTAAAAGGCGTATATTCAACTAACCGATACTACAGTACAGTGGCGCACTAAAGTCACAAAACGCCAATATAATCAAAAATGAATTCTATAGTATATCTCGGGAATGTAATACGAGTTTGTTGTATGTACCAAACTATGATCCCCGCTTAAAATGTGACGGTCCATAACACAATACATTCGAGGAGCCTACAGTAGGTGAATTGAGATTCATACGCCAGACGCATTGGCTTAAGGTAGAGTTCACAAACTGTGCGTCGGTGGCACAGTGGTTAGGACTCTCACCGACCATGCACATGGTCCGGGGTTCGAGCCCACGCCGATGATTTGATTTGATTTGATTTACAGCTTGATTCCACACTGTATTTTTGGTACAAGTATGGAATTTTCAGCATGGATATCGGTAGCCCAAATTTTGCAGGCTAACCATAGATATCAGGTGTGCGCCGGCGTGGGCTCGAACCCCTGACCATGTTCATGGTCGGCGAGAGTCCTAACCACTGTGCCACCGACGCACACCTGATATCTATCGTCAGCCTGCATAATTTGGGGTACCGATATCCATGCTGAAAATTCCATACTTGTACGAAAAATATAGTATTGTTCACATACAAACTTGGAACATTATGGATACCAGAAAATGTGCGATAAACGAAATTATTGAACGGCAGTATAAACAAGAAGTAGAACAGCTGAGGAAGAACAGAATGAAACAAGAGGTAAGTATAGCTGTCAGATACATTCAGAGAAGAGTACATCACTTTTTAATGCTTTCCGTAGCATAAGAAAAAAGGATATTAAAGCCTTTCCCGCCAGTGATTTCGATTTTAAGCCGTATCTGATAACATATAAAGTCATTAAGTCACATGATTTTCTACGCCCTACAACGAAAAATATGATGCATCGACAGATGGAAACCAGATAAAACTAATCTTCATGGATTGACTACTTCCTCTGGGGCTATAAAATAGTTTACGGCATAGGATCCACTAGAATGCCATTCACAACACACATCCTAAACACTGAAGTCGGTGCCCAAAGTTGGTACCACCTACTCTTCATATATGCACAGCACGTTCTTGGAGTTACTGGCATTTTGTTGTCACCAGATGCAAGCAGTTCTCCGGAGACAAAAATGATCGAAAGTGGAAGGTTGAAGTGCATCGTTAGTTCAAGGAGAATAATTTCACAAGCGTTGAGCGAAACTACGCGCAAAGAAGTACTGTAAACCCTATCAACATAACAATTCTTCTAACACTAGTTAATTCTTGTTGTGGAGTGTGCTATACAAATGCAGATTGATAAGAAACGGTCCAAAATTAAAATCAACATTTTAAATCAATGGTCGCATGGTTAAAAGTGTTGATACCTCAAATCCGGATTTAGTTTACGTTGTCGTCTAGAGATAATCTCATTCGACAACTTTCCGTCCCTTAGGCTAATCGCCAACCGATCGGAACAGTTTGTTGTGGTTAAAAATGTATAAATGTGATGCATTTTCGCTTAATAAAAAAGTCCGTTACCACTTCTCTTATATTCTGCCGCTACATTATGATTGTATGAAAGCCTCTCTAATCACGCAGTTATCCCTTGAAAAGCTAGTGAAATTTATAGTGCCAAAATTTTCTAAAGTCTGTTGTTTTATCAGTGCCTTTAGAATATTGGTGCGATAAAGCCCAACCAAAAAATCATTTATATGCGTGTACTTGGGACTTAAAGGTTTCGGTAAATAACCTGAAATATGTGATTAAACCCTACTCAATTTGCTGAAGTTTAATTAGGTGATCAGTATCACCAATCGTGACAAAATATGCTTTTTGAATAGTATATGATTAGTGAACTTTTATTATTATTATTGTTCTGCTAAACATAACTCTTGTATTTCCCTGGATAAAAATGAAAGTGAACAGGTCTTTTGTAAAATATAAATTAAAAAGCTAGCTGATAATTTGAACCTACAACCTGTATGGGCAACCGGGTGTTTATAGGTATATGATGGTTGAACATATAAAATGAAATATGGATGGTCATAACGATACATGAATGGACCCCAATCCCATACTACTTTTTTATTTAAATGCAAACTTGGTACAATAAGTACGGGCACCAAGAGATGCATCCGAATTCTGTCACCAACAATGATGCGAAACAGAGAGACCAGAGAGTGAAAAGCTTTCAGAAACATGTGCAAAGTTCTTATATTTTACAAAGAAAAATATGCACAAATCTGATTCACTAGGAAATACAAATTAGCATCATATGATTACTAGTGACAATGATACTTACCAACAACTAACAGGATCGGAAGAGCACATTTGTGGGTACCAACAGTAGTCATAAATCAATTCATTTTTATACATACTTAGAACAGACCTCATTTCTTCCAGTAATAAAATAAAAAAATAATAAAAGAAGATCTCATATTATCCTGGTACAATTGTTGTTCTTTCTTTGTTCAGATGTGATGATTGTTGGATATCGGTAATTATACCTATATTACAGAATCTGTCGAAGGGTGAAGATATGATCAGTACACCGTCTTCCTGGTCTACAGGTTATAGAGCTGTAGGTGAAGTGGATGGATACGTAGGCTGAGTTAACAGTTAGAAGCTTCAATAGCAGCGGGAATTAAAGGCAAATTAAGCTTTTCTTTTGAATGTACAGTGAAATGAGTTGTTTCTTTTAACTGCCGTTACTTTCAACTATGTATGAAAAATGAGTTTGAGCTGCTGTATGTTATTCTGCTTAAAATTACACTGGTTTTATTTGTGCTTATTATAGATACATTCCAGTCGAATTCAGCACTTGAAGATGCTGTACGTCACATAATTGCTGATATATTTGCTAAAGATTTAGATATATTAAAGAAAGCTGAAGAATTGTAAGTTATTCATTATTTTCATTTTGTTCTGATTATATTTATTAAAATATTTTCCCGGTTTTTCTAAGAAAATATTTAAAATACTCATAGATTCTTTGATTTGACACTAGGTAGTTCATATCTAGTGTCGTACGTCTAGTCCTTTGTTTTCTGTAGACTGAGGTTTACAGTGTGGTCACCAACAAGTCTAGGTCGTTCGTCATCGCGGTTTACTCTTCACTGTTATCTCAGAAGCCATATGAGTTCCTTCAAGATTGTAGATACACCTTGCTGACGAGTGCTAACAATCATGAAACCTAGGTCCAAGGATTCCTGCCGATTGCCTTCAACCATCTGATTACAACGATACTCATCGATTATTAATATAATTGCATCTTTTGCAATGGTTGCCTAGGTAACATTTGGAGCAAAACTAACGCTCGTGATCACACCAACTGCTGGAATTGATTTTTTTAAAATTCCTAAATATATTTAGTAATTTTCGTGGATGGTGATTAGCGATGGTAGAATCTGGAATGCGGATTTCGTCTTAACTGTAGGACTCGTCATCTGTGTGTACCAGCATCCTGCCAGTAAGTAAGCGATGATTGTTCCCGATAAAACTTGAACGCCGTACACATCGTTGCAAACGGCGAAGCGTTACCGGACCACATAAGCTATAAGAGGCAGTCGGGTGGATAACGATTTGACGTTTTCAAAGATGAGTACTGGGTTTAAGTCCTGTTGGGAAAACCATCACTCACGAGGGAATGTAGTTACATCCATATGAATAGTCCCACGGTTATGACGAAATGTACATCCTCGATTCCACCAGTGCTAGTCACCATCCATCCACCAAATCGCTTCGAGGTAATCCTCAGACATCGTGGAATCCGACATATTAACATTTTTATTGAATCAAGGATAGGGAAAATAAAAATTGAATTGAAAACAAATAATGTGATGATTTTATTTTATGATTGCATCGGTAGTTCAACGACAGGAGTCATCCCCAACCATGCCTCTCGTGGTCAGGGATACAATCTCCGGTCGAATCAAGGACTGGCAGGTGTCGCCCAGCGGGTTGTAAGCTCGGCAAGGAGGCTAGCAACCTCACTCTGTGAAAAGGAAAAAAATACCAGTGCTACTGAGATTTCAGAGCTTAAAGCTTGGGGCTGTCTGCTTGGAGCGGATAGCTGTGCTGCGAATCGCCTTTGTTATATTTGATTAGGATGGTATTTCTGGTGAATGTAAATTATTTTATCGGTCCTATTTTCCACATGTTCTACACACTTTGGATTTGAAAAATACAAACACGCTGTCCGGGTTCTTCTTCTCATTCATGTTCTGAATTATTGTGTATTTATGTTCCTCTGTAGGGTTGATCATAAGTTAAACGTTTATGTTCATTCACTTATATTTTGTAGATGATCTAGACATTGGACCTGCATAGTTAGTCGGACATTCAAGTTTGTTTCATTTTTCACTATGGATTGATATAACATTTAGAAAACCATCATCAACCAGGGAGTACTGGATAGCTATTTCGTCATAGTTCGGGACTTTTCACTAGTACCCACTCATCGGAGTCTGAACCCCCAGACCGAATTTCGTTTATTGTATTTGGAAGTGCCGATGTTTTCCTAGTTTTTCATCTCACTAGTGTTTATTTCAGCAGCTAGAAAGTTATACATGAACCATTTCTTCAATTTCTTGTTCCTTTGTGTTCCTGTATTAGTTAACCTCTTTAAGATGCGAAATATTCATAGTTCTGACTAGTTTGACGCAGAGCTTTCCTTTCCTAAAATCAACGCTTACAGAAAATGGTTACCTGAACCGACTGATGACAGAGACACAACAGATAAGCAATCCGAACTAGTCACTAAATCAGTTATGAAGAGAACTATTCTCATGAATTTGATATTCAAAGGTTATTGGGCCTCAGATATACTTAAAAATCATTTTTCTAGATCAGTTTGTAAGTTGTTCTTGGAAGGGAAACAGTAATTAACCCTAACCAGTCGTAAATTGTTGTTCTCCGTCTGTGCAAAAGATGTGCTCATTTATCTGGTAGCCTCCATGTGCATCTTTCAGTTTACATGCTCTTTTGGAGCAAGGTAAATAAGCTGTAGTAGGAGGTAACTTTCCACAGGGACAGGTGAACACATTCCAGCATGGCTTTACGAGGCTAGAAGGAAGGCCGTGAGAAACTCTATTCTGCGATACTTGATTGACTTCTGTCATTCCACCAACCCTGATGATTTTAAGATCACTTATGGAATTCCTGCTAAGTTGCCGCGTTTTCTTAGTTCCAAACGTCTGAAAATAGCGGAGGTCACGGCTATTCATAAATTTAAGCCAGGCCTTTGTGCACGAAAGAAATATGTACAGTTAGTTTTTCTACCTTGGCCCCCTAGAAGGATAAACATTTCTTTCTTTTTCATTTTTGTTTATTTAGTTAATCTGTGCACCTTTCACTCATTACTATAACTACTATTAGTACTATTAATTTTTGAGTTAAACCACGGACTGATATCAGTTAGAGAACCATTGAAAACCAGGGAGTACTCGGTAGCTGTTCCACTTTAGTTTGGGACTCATCGGCAGCACGCACACACAGGGTTTCGAACCCAGCATCTGAAAATCACAAGGCAACCTCGTAGACCACTAAGCCTCCGAGACCCGACTCAATCGCCCATGAATTCTAACTTCTACCAGTTTGTGATTTTAGCGCGACCACCAGCAGCCAATGTCATCAGTGACTTTTCGTCCCCACTCTCGACCAGGTTTGCAGAAGTTCAGATTCATGGGCCATTGAGTTGGGTTCCAGTGCATGAGTGGTCTACGAGCTTGCGTCGTAACCGGAAGGCAGTGGGTTCAAACCCTGGTGGGTGCGTACTGCCGATGAGTCCGAAACCAAGAAGACGAAACAGCTGTCAAGTACTTCTTGTTGGTCCTCGCTAACCGATATCAATTCGTGGCCAAACTTAAGACAAATCAAATCCTTTCTCCAGCTGTTGGTGTGATCACTGGTGGCAGTTTTGATCGAAATATTACTAAAATCAAGGAAACAACAACTTATAATTCTATGTAAATAACCATTGATCTCTTCCACAATACACTTTTCACAGATATTATGAAATATACTCATTTTCTCTTGAATTCCATTTCAGGTCTCTAAAGACATATCTTAATTAGAAATAGGCTCCAATAAATCTAAGTGAAGGGATTTTATTTTCATATTTTCGTAATCATTGTTCCGAATAGTTTACTGATTTCGCACAGAAAAGTGCTTATTCTAATAAGCACTATTAAGGCCTATTATGAATGTAACTGCAGATTACAAGGGACTACTCCTTTTTTAGATGGTCATACACGATCTGTTTGGAATTGTGTCCGTAATAAAATCTTGTCACCAGGGACGGACCACCGCAAGGTAAATTTGGGATGTACAATTTTCTGGGTCTATCTATTCTAACTCGCCCACTCCTCTCGAGAGTGGGGAGAGAGAGGAACACCTTACTGTTGTTACAGCCGCCTATTCGACAGGAGTATGACTTCGTTCATGGGTTTCCAACGTAATGTAAACAACTTACACACTATAGTGGCAAATGCTTTTAGTCTAATCTCTTTCCGAATAATCTTTCTGGTATTGTAGAATCTACAGAAATGTTAGTTCCAGCCAGTGTAGCTCGTTAAGTCACTGTAACATACAGGCTTGATCAACACGTTTACCAATAGTCTCAAATCCTTAGTTATTTGTGTTTCGAGGACTGCAGTCCAGGGGTCCGTACCTCCCTTACGTGGCTTAAACCAACGGGGGAAGACGTGGACTGACACCAGGTGTTGATTTGACCATCCGTAACTCTTTTGAGACATAGTTCTATACTAACTAACACTGCTTCTTATGGAAGGTGGTGGCTCGGCATGCGTAACACGTGCTTTAGCAGTTTCGATCCATGTAGCTTCTAACCTCAACGTTACTCTTACCCTATCATACCAATAAGCACATGAGATAGGGTGCAAACAGACTGTGGTGAAAATCACTCAAATTTTTCGTATCTTCCACCTTCATTGACTATTTCTAATAGCCATAAAGGGCAGAACAAACTGCCATGTAGTACAGACGTTGTTTGGTGAACAGCTGCTTAACACGCCTACGCGGGAGGTGACGTGAGCTGGCTGATGCCACACGAAATCTTTTTATCTGTGTTGAGATTTCGTCAGAAATCAGTCCATTATGGCTGTTGCAACTCCCCAATTAAGTGAATTGGTCAACACGCTCAACAGCCACTTCACTCCTTATTTCTTAGCTAGGAGTCAACGTAGTCCAGTCATAGTAGCATCATCTTACATTTTATGGGAGCGAATCGCATGTCGAATACTCGAAGATTGCTGCTCTTCAAGGTGTTCAGAAGACTGCTTTCCATTAGCATCTTCACGTAGAAGGGAGAGTGTATCATCTGTATATTCTAAGCCGACAAGACCATCTCGAGTTACAGTCACTAAAGCCAATTAGAGTCAATTGCATTAGTGCATCTATAATGAAATTGATCAGAAATACTGCCAAATACTGCCCTCAGATCAAGAAATAGAGACACCAGTAATTAGTATGCCTATATTTCAGTACCTATTGACTACTAAAAATATGATCTTAACTAGTTCAAGAGCTTGATTGATTTTCCCGGAGTTGTTTCCACCGAGCACCGTTTATCTTTATTATTGAAAACACGGACTTGGTACACTATGTGCAGCATGAGATGTGCTATGGAAAATCTTAGTATATATGACGGTTGGGATACTACTTGGTGGGCTCAGGTGCTTATCTTCAAGCACCACTCCCCTAAAGCCTTTGTCTTGAAGTCTTATACACAAGGTAGTAGAGCACAGAGTTTCTATGGTGACCAAAGCACGTTCATACACCACTCAGTCCCTTTTTAAATTCTAGAGTCCATGTACAAAGCATAGGTTTAGAATCCACCACCACCTCCCCCGAGGTAGACTCTTGCATATCTAACAAACACTTCAGTCGTAAGCACCAGAGGTTTGCTTTGGCCCTTTTACATTTTTGAGGAACACTCCCGGTGAGGCGCATTGAGGCCAGTAAAGGCAACTTACCTATCAGAAGTTATAAATACATCCGCACATGACAGAATTTCGAGAGGTAGTTTATAGTGGCAAGTCATTTATTGGAGCTTGCCATTATCCACTCAGTCACGTCAGCATCACTTAGTCTAAACCATACATTATTTCATATTGAGTTCATGTTTCTCTGTGTGTGTGTGTGAGTTAAACCTTTTTCCTTTTATCCTAAACTATTCATTTCCGTGTATACGTTTTCTATCATCAGATGTTCAACTTATCCTGCAACAATTAAAACCTCACCAAAGTTGACACGTGATACACAAACGTCCGGTGAATCATCTTATCTACAGCCTATGCTTATTGATACAGACGATGAGAATAATACGGATTTTATTGACGGTGATGATGAATACTCACTAAATGGTCAAAATTCATCAATGAGTCCTAACAATAATCATAAACCCAAAGATGAATTTATTACGTTTAAAAATTATCTAAATTTTTCTCGTTCAGTCTCATCTATTCTAGCACATCAAGTGAGTTGTGAATAAATAACCTTATGCCCCTTGCATTACCTATTATACCTATGATTATTATTATTATTATTGTTATTACTACTACTGTTCTCTTGGGTTCGGAGTTTAACACATAGCTTCAAAAGCACGTGTTCCTGATTTTATCCTGTTCTGTGTAGCCCCCTTTAACTGTCTCCACGATTGTTGATAAGCTTTCATCTCTGTCTCGCACAATCTCTTTCATGTTACCCTCAGACTCATGGCCAACTCATCATCTTTTGCAGCATGTATCCGATCCACGTTGATTCGTTTTTGTTGGCTGATAGGTTCTTTATTGGTTCGTTCTCAGAGTTCCTGGTTGCCGACTAACTGACTGGTTTCACCACAGAAACTTGCACAGATATGCAGCAGTTCAACTGGCCAAACTCCATTTAGCACACTAAGCAAGACAAGAGAGTAATGAGACAAAAAAGAGAGATGACAAACAGAAGTGTGAAGGAAAAAGAATAGTAATACGGAAGAACAGTAGAGTTTTGTTGGTTACGATAAGTCACAAGGAGTGAATGTATCTATGGTATTCATTGACAACGATTTTGAACCATATCACCGATTATCTCCAGCCTTCATTGGATTTATACCATCCCGAGGACCCCAACAAGTCAGGTAGTCTACACCTCCCTATGTGTCTGACTAGCATAAACTGTTATGGATTTTATTGACTGATGAAGTCATGCTTTTGATTTGACCACCACTAGCTAGCTAACTCTTTTCCAACCTCACCGATCCCATGTCAGCTAACATCGCCGGTGGTCGAGGAAGGCGATGGATGGCTAGGCATGCATGCATAGCACATGTCCCAACCCTATTTCAATCAGTGTAACTTCACAACTTCGTTGTTACTTGTTGCTAATCCTTTCTAACCGTTCATCTGGTCTTCAGTATTGCAGCCAAGGGAACAGTTGTTGATGAAAGTCTCTACCAGCCTGTTAGAAATGATTTCGCGCGTGTCAAGTTTCTGACCCAGTATAGGAAGAGCTGACTGACTTAACGCGCTTGGTTTTGAAAATCTAAATTTTATTTCTGATGCTGGGTGGTGCTAAGTGAAGATTTCCAGACTGATTTCAAGGCTATGAAGGTGTGCCTTGCCTTTTCCAATTCTGGCTTTTGGCATCATGCTTAACGCCCGCCTGTAGAGTTGAAACAATACTGTCTAGATTATAGTAAAGGAAGTGTTGTTTTCGTAGTTGGTTGGTCATGTTCATCACCTTTCTTTTCTCTATGCCCACTTGAAGTTCAGTTTTTGCTGCTTTTTCTAACTACAGTGTAAGAAATCATTAAACCCCTTGAGTGAGTATACTTCAGTAGGCGCAGTAGGATAGGAATCTTTGACTTATCGTTTCGAAATGTAGTTTATTTTGTTTATGGCGTTCAACTTAAAGCTAATACGTCCTAGGTTCTAGTCTCATCTAGGTCATTGAGTTAGTGTCATTAGGCCTCACACCTTGAATGTGGTGACTTATAGCTTCTACATGGAATTAATGTATTAGAAGTCACTGGTTTTAAACAGCAACAACAACACCACCAAGGGCGCTCACCGGATGGAAGGTGAGTGCTGTATCCATATGTGCGTTTGACTTCTGTAATCGGAATTTCAGTATATTGACTTCTTGCTTCTCAAGCGAGTCTGTTTAACGCATCCTTTTCTGTTTGAATTTCCTTTAATCTTCTTTTTATTATGTACGAAACTAATCGGTTGCTAATGTGACTAATATTTATACAGTTCAAATGTCGCTAGACAGAGAGAGAGAGAGAGAAGGGGGCGGTAGTGGTTCATAAGGTCAGTGATCAGCCTAATGGAGTATTCTGCTTTAAGAATTTTAGCACAAATTCTACTAGGATTATTAATTTCTAAGAAGATTAATTTAAGCCCCGGTGTGTGTATACTATTGAAGAATCCCAAACTAGGACGAAACAGCTGTTCAGTGCTCCCAGGTTTTCCAATGGTTCTCTAACCAATGTCAGCTGATGATGAAATCCTGTAACCAATCAATCAAATCCCTACTAACTATTTTAATTCAACCAGAGATGACGTACAGAGTTTCACCATACCACTTTGCACAGAAGTCCAGCAATTCATGTTGCCACACTCCGCGTAGCACACAAAGGAAGATAAAAGAGACAAAAAAGAGATTCAGAGTAACACCGATTGTAGGATTAGTTTTTCCTACAGATTTAGTCCGTCCTCAGTACTGACGATACAGAGTGTTGGCTTAACTATAGTTAAAAACAGAGTAACTTGACTTAAACTTTATTTCTTTCTAAAACATAAAACAAAGCATAGAATTACACCAAGAAAAGCACGAACCCATTGTCACTCAAGAAAAGACAAAAACATACCGAACAGTATTGAAGTAACAGACAAAATGAACAGTTAATTAATACATTTACACAATAGAGACAGGAAATGAAGAACATTCAAGGTCACATCACGTGGTGAGAGTTACATTAAATTAGCCAATAATCGCGACAAAGGGTTACATAGTATCGGTTAGCTGTCTGTCAAACTATCTATCTATCTGTCGCGATTAACGCCGATAAACAGAAATATGAAGGTGGAAAGTATAGTAACATGGAAAAGCGGTAGGGAGATCACAAAGGGTGAATTCACCTGCTCCAACAATGACGACGACTTTGAGCCATATCACCAATATTCTCCAGCCATTGATTCTTAGAATCCTGAGGGTTACAACCAAGCACTCTGTGCTTATCCGTACGTGGCTCGGACTATATGTGAAAGATTTCAAAGAGTTATTCGAAATCAGTTAACGTTGCCGGTTGTCGAGGCGGGCGATCAGTGTAGCTTAGCTGACTCGTCGACTGACACACTTACTTAATACTCGAGACTACCTACACGCGAGATAGAACACAGACAGCTATGATCAAAGACAGGCAGTGATAGGACGCAGCGTGAAGTAGTATATCATCGTTTCTCACATTTCGTGTGAGTTATCATGTGATGGAGTCATTATGTGAATATATCATTTCTCGCGCATATTGTGATTTAGTGTGCGACCGATTCATTTTTTTTGTCTCACCTTGTTCTTTGTCTGGTAACCAAACAATCAGGATAGGTATTTCTAACCAATAAGAACAGTCATTCTCACGGTTGTGAGCCTTTTATTTTAGTTAAGACAACGTATAAATATCATGTGGTGTTTCTTAAGCTATATAGTACAGTGCAGTGCAGCATCTTCCATTCATAGACCAATGTTTGTCTTTTGGTATTTGCGTGTCACAGTGAATCGCAAGGTACCAGTCGAGTTCACTACCCTCATAGTAATTAGCAGGCGCACACATAAAGTAGCAACGGATTTATTCAGTTCAGTTCACTTATATCAGGCAACCTTTTCACATCTTCCACTTTAGATGGCCATGTTTCGCAGACATAAAGGAGTACGGAGTGAATTACTTCTGATTAAAAGTGGCCAACGCGCTCCACTAGGTGGATATGACTGTATTCAGCGTACTGTCCATAATTACTGTCGGATTATTGTTGTCTATTTTTAGCAGATTTTATGTTCCTGTTGTTTTCCGGACCTTTTAGAGCCTCTGTTTCTTGTTGAAACAAGTTTTCTTTTACTGACTTTCTTCTGATAATTCAATGTCGACACATAAAGTGCTCTGCCTAGCTCAGCAGCTCTACTCACTATTGTGCTTCATGCTATCTCTACACTGAGAGTGACATCCCCAGGTTTTCATCCGTCATCCTTTCCTGAAAACTTTTTAATTTATCAGATGTCGATCATCGATTTTGTTCTGCAGATGATTGATGGGGTGTACCACTGGCAACTTCATTCTGCTTGGCGGGATATTATGCTTCAATTAATTTCCTGATGTTTTATTAATTTGAGTATTTTGGTAGATTTATTTGAAAGTAGTTGGTTGATCGTGCCTGCATTTTTGGATATTTTGAATGATGACTTCATAAACGTTTTTGTAAAAGAAAAATATTATGTACCATATTTGTGCGTTTGAATTTTGATTGTTCAATCTCATGTCTAATGGATAGTTTAGTTTCTTGATAATCCTGTGAAGTTGTTGTTTGCTAAAGAGGAGTCTCCTGGGTTGTTCTCCTGTTGCTATGCTTTCATCTTTGTTTTTCTCCTCTTGCTACTGGAATGTGTTCACCAAAATACTTAAGGTTGGTTCGTTCTTTTAAGCACTAAATATCAAAAGATATAATTTGTAAATCGTGCCTCTGCATTGTGACATCGGTGTGGGTTTCCGATTAGCAAGACCTGCCTTACCGTCCAGCAACTAATCAGTGTTTGATTTCTAACTGGTAGGTCGGATCCAGACTCCGACTCGTCGTTTCCAAATCGGGTTCTACTCGATCGATGACAACCGGGTGCACAATATCATTCTGTCGTCTCTCCATGTCGAATTTCTTCTGCTTATTTGTTGAACAATAGATTCCTGATTGATATTGTTCCAAGAGTCCCGTGTTGCCTATTCCTTCTGATTGGCCATTTGTTCTAAACTATTGGGCTAGCGAAGGCAGCTGTTAAGAAAATTCTGAAAGTGACCTTTTGAAAATGTTTGCTTTTTGTGATTCTAGCGCGTGAACTTTTCGACTCATGCAGAAGAAGTAGAGTTTATTATTAGTGGTAGGGCGTGTGTACTGCTGAGCAGTCTGCTCCGTCCTCCTTGATGTCTGTGAGACATGGCCATTGAAAGTGGAAGACATGAAAAGGCTATCTGTATTTTATAATAGGTGCCTGCGTTCTATCTCCCATGTGGAGTGGAATAATAGGGTAAACAATACTGAGGTTAGGGTCGCCACGTCAGTTCAAGGGTGTGGCGACTTGAACTGCTGCACATCTGTGCAAACTTCTATGTCAAAAACAGGCAGACAGACATTGGCGAATGCTGTTCAGGATTTAGGGAGAAGATATCATCTGGAGTGAGCCTCCCTCCCCCTCCAGAAAACAATAGTTCGCAACTTTGACTGTCTATTCTAAGCCTAAAACCTAGTTACTTGAATGAATACTGACACTCTTACGAGAAGCTGGTAGTTATTTTCTGTGTATTTCTAATTAATTCTTTACATACATAAATTGCTAATTTTACACCTCAAAGTATATTCCAACTTCCTTTCTTGACTATTTGTAGAATAATCTTTCAATTATTTCTATGTATACAATTAAAGTTGAAATGTCCCGCCACTATTGGCATATCGTCACCTACCTAGTACGGACGCTTTGTTAATTTCTGAGGATTAGCTCGAAGTAATCTGGTGGACGAATGGTGACTAGTGGTAGTGGAATTCAGACTGTGGGACCTGCCAGCTGGCCTCTAGGAGTGTTGATAGTGTTCCCACTGAGGCTGAACATTTTAGTCCAGTCAGTTGATGGAAAAATTCAAATTGAATTAAAGGAAACACACCAATAATAACTAAATACCCGTTAATCAAGAAGTGGTGCTTGTATTTTAAAAGGAAGGGTACTGAGTTTGAATCCCAGCAGCAATGCCATTGTTGACTCACTATCCTTGGATACACCTACTTCTGGCTAACCGATGAGTCCCACGAACATAACGAAATGCACATCCTGGATTCCCACCGCTGCTAGTCACCATTCACCGAATGACATCATGTCGGAGGATATGAGGATAAATACTTTCCAAAAAACATTTGCTGGCGGTCGCGGTAAATGTGATAAGAATTGGCAGAGGCTAGAATTCATGAGCTCTGGCCACTGGATTTCGTCTTATTTCGTGGAATGTTCAGTTGGGTCGCCTCGTAACTTGAAGGTCTTGGGTTCTATTGCACGATGGTGGCACAGTGGTTAGGACTCTCGCCGACCATGCAAATCCGGACGCACACCTGATATCTATGGTCGGCTTGCAAAATTTGGGCTACCGATATCCATGCTGACAATTCCATACTTGTACCAAAAATACAGTGTGGAATCAAGCTGTAAATCAAAAATATAAAATAAAAAATTTAAAACACAAACTTGCTGCAGTATGGACATCAACAATAATAAAGCATAAACATATTGTAGCGAGTGCTACTGATAAGATTTGCCAGTAGTATGCAAAGAGACGTTCATCGGCATAAAAACATCAAACGGGAGGGAGATACATTTGATTTTAGACAAGGCAGCGTTGTGGAGATACATAGGAGACGTTGAAAAAATACTAAGAAACACAACATGAAGTCCAGAAGTGCCACAACACGATAATCTATGCAAATGGTGCATTGAAGATTAGGTATACACATTTGGCTGTATAGATACATCAAGTACCAAAAATAATAAGAAAATAAGCAGAGAATAAGTGGGGAATGTCATCCGGAAAGCAAGGAGCCATCTTTGTCAAGAACATTCAGTAATTCGTGTTACTTTCAGAACCGTGGAAGAAAGAAGGAAAGCATGTTGGCCATTGATTACGACACTTGGCCATATTTAATAACATTTCAAACCACTGATTTAAACTATCTCTCAGACCCTAACCTGGGAGACGTGATGTTCTAAATGATGCTAACCTGGCACAAAAATTGTCATTCATCCCACTACGACACGTCATATTAAGCTAACCACGTTTCTGCTTTTTCTATCTAGTCCCAGTTGGCTAGGGAGCAGAGACATCGGTACGGAAGCCTCTAGGATGATATTCGCAGCACATATTCAAGCCGCTAAATTTGGTGTTACAACATGATTACGATATTCAATGAGTAGTGATCTCTACCGGACATTAGAATGAATCACAATGATTCCATCGAATGCAAGGAGCTCTACGTAGAGTGGCCACACATCTGCTCAGAGAGACCATGTTTCATAAGAATTCAGTACGGACATGATATCGACGCAGTCAAGTCATTTACCATTGTCAGCAAACAAAGAAACAAGAAGATGCTTGAAATTGCAGAGGTTGTGCAATTCGAATTTATAAACCAGCTCTCCGTATACAAAAGGAGATGGTCGTGACTCTGAATCTACCATGGTTATACGTTTTACTTATTATTCTCTACTTGTTATTACTATTATTCTACCTCTTCTTCTTACTATAATTGTTATTATTATTATTATTATTATTCTTGATTCATCTAGAACTATGCTTTATCAGTAAGATTATCTTAACTCACTTCAACATTGTTATTATTATTATTATAACTATTACTATTGATATTATTCTGTTTGGAATTCTCGTTATATTCCCCAATGACTAATTGTTTATCTAAGTGATGTAATTGAAGTGTAATGCAATTTATCTTAATTTTGATCTCTCTTACTCTCTCTTCCCTTATCTGTTTGAACATGACCTGGAAAACATTCGCACGTGTCTTTCTGCATGATTAATTCTATGTAGTTTGTTTACTTATCAGTCTTATATCTCCCAATGTAATTTCAAAAGTATATATCCGTGTATGTAGAGTATTCAGCTGACGAGTTCTACCGAAATTTGATGAATTCATTAAATCCTGCTTTATTAACCTTTATTGCTTGTTTTAAATTCGTATCGGGAAATAAATGTTTTCAAGGATTCGGTACACCGAAGCATTGTAAACTTGACCTTTGGCAGCTGGGCTGACGTTCCCAGTTTCTAGCTGGGAGAGTTGTGGGTGCGCATTACCCACCAGTCCCCCAAAGTAAAGTAAAATATCTGTGTAGTCAGTGGTCCCTGCTAATTTTCAGTGTTCTGTGTTAAATGCTGAAGTCAGTCTGTGATCAGCACTTTTTATCAGTTAATAAGGAATCGTAACACGTACACTTTCCATACTAAACTATTCGTTCTGTTTTTGCTCCCAATTCCTCTACTATTTTTTTTCAGGTGTTAGCTATTAATCGTGCAAGTGAAAGAGGTTTAATCACTGTAAAGATTGATTTATCCCCTCAAGTCCAACAACAATGTAGGACATTTGTGTCTGAGAAATACTTATCCACTGTGAATCGTGGTCATTGGGACTATGTTATGCAAGCGTTTGATGATGCCTGGAAACGTTTGATTGATCCACATTTAGTGCGTAGTATTCGGTAAGAAGATAGCGTAGTTTTATATTACTAAATAATATTTATTTGACTGCTTCTTTTTCCCGCGTAAATCCGCATTTTATTTTTATTTTTGAAGTTTTATGTTGTTTTCTTTTTTCCACCGGAGTATGAGAAATAGGGAGAGATTGTACAGGCTATTTGTGATGTTGACTACCTGTTTTATGACAAAGGTGACAAGGGAGCCATGATCCTCCATTTTACTGAGTCACTAGAATAGTCAACATGCTTCAACAATTCACCACTGTCTGTGATGATATATGCTGAATTCTAATTCAGGCGGAGGATTTAATACAATGAAGTCGAACTTGTTGTCATCTTCTTTGACCTCGTTCTCAGAGGTTTTTCTGTGGACACAGTAACTGTTTGTATGTATTCACAATGTACAACATATTGATATTAGCTGGTTGGAAGCAATCGACAGGAAGCCTTGAGCCTATATTTCGTGCTAATTGGCACTCACCAGCCAGCAAGGCGTATCTTCAACCTTTAGGGAACTCATGTCCCTTCTGAGATTCAAACCCGTGTCACACAGTGCTGCCTGCAGTTAGAGACGTTATCTCTGAGTTGTAAGGCTGTATTGGATACTTTTTGTAACGACAGAAAACAAGAGCCAGTCAACGATCAATCATTGAGAAAATCAAGAGATATTTATAGATTTTTATGTATATTACTATATGTGATTGATAGCGAAGAAGCAACGTCTCCTCTGATTGGTTATTCTGTACTGTTGGTGACCGTTTTTTAGAGAGTTAAGCCATTTATCTGCGAATCGTATTTGCACAAGCTAAGCCTGTTGTGATTGGGGGGGGGGGAATGATTTTCTCAAGCTTGAGCTTTCTTTTGTGTTTTTTTCATGATCCCGATTAGGGACGTAAACATTAACGTAAATTTTTGTCTACGATTTTGTCTTGCAGGATAGCCCTCACCATATTATTATTATTAGTAGTAGTAATACTATCATTTTTTGGGTTTAGAGTGGAACTTTGGGGTTAAGAAACACATCTCCGCTTCACTCTGTTCTGTGAAATCTTTTTTAACTGGTTAATACGATTGTCTGTAAGTTTTCATTTCTTCGTCACAAGAGCTCCTCCACGTCACTCTTAAAATGACGCCTAACTTTTAATTTTTCCCATTGGTGGTTTACACACGGGAAAGTTCAACCTGGGGTGTGTTGTTGCCTATCCTTTCTGGTTGTGACTATCTTAATCCCTTCATTATCGAGTGAAGTAGTAGAGATATTGATGGAAGTAGTTTGCAGTAACCTTTTTGGGAATGATTTTGGCAACGTGCCAAGTATTGACTTGATATAAGTGATGACGACTCGGATCTTGTTCCTTATACTGAGTGCATCGGAGTTTGAAATAATAGAAAAGATTTGTAGCTAAGGTAGATAATTCTGAATTATTTGTGTTCTCTAAGCTGGTGGATTTAATTTCGAAGCTTTCGTTGTCCTTGTAGACAACATCATCAGCGTAGCCCCTACTATGGCAGCCATTGATTGGACACTAGTCGGTAAGTAGTGTAATGCGTCTAGTCCTATTTTTGGTGCAGATTGAATTCTATCAGTCAAATTTGCAATGTGGCTAGGTGATGGAGGTTCGAATCTTAGAAAGGACATGAGTTCCTATAAGGTTGCAGATACTCCTTGATGACTGGTGAGTGCCAACTAGCAATAAACTCAGGTGAAAGGCTTCCTTCCGATTGCCTCCAACCATATAATAGTAACAATTGATCACTTTTATTGACTTTGACCCTGAACTTACTCGCCCTGTGATTTATATCTTATTAGTTGGTAAATTTAATCTGTCGTAATGTGTCTGATAGTCGCAGATGCATCTGAGCGCCAACCAGACTTCTAGAAATTCCCTGGCATTTGTTTAATATTTCCGCTGTTTAAAATGTCTGTATTCTCCTTATCAAATTCGTGTTCATGCATCGATATAAAAGAGGACTACATATGTCGTGTCAGGTGGCATTTCTCTCCCATTCTCTTCAGCACTGTAGAGCCAGAGTGTGTGTTGTAAACACTATCTGCACACAGTTTCTCCTCCTTGGGGTAATCGGATTATTTCTATTATGGTTGAGTACTCGGTCTATGTGCGTTGATTTTCTGTGTTAGGTCTCTTGATTAAGACATCTAAAAGTGGAATTTTGTTGGCTAATTCGTCTTCTCTTGTGAATTTAATGTCTTCAAAACACTTGAATGTTGTTTATTAATTTGCGGGTATATTCCAAATCATTTCTCTTAACTATTACAAATGTATCAACAACGTTAACGTATCCAGATTTTGGGTTTAATTATGGGTAGGGAGGACCATTAATTCTAATCTTTGCATAAAGGCTTCAACTATTAATTCTGATATGGGTGATGATCCCATTGGTGTTCCTTTTATCTATTTGCATATCTGATTATTGAATCGGTAGTATGTTGTAACACATAATTCTATGAATGCCATTCAAGTTAAACATTTTGTTTTTGTTTTTTTATTTATCCTTATAGAGTAGTTTTCGTATAGGTTCTTTTGCTAGTTTTTGACCATTTGAAGTGTATAATGTTGTGACGCCATCAAAGGACGCCATTATTTCATTATCATCCACTTAAATGTTTTTTTATTTTCTCTAAAATTGAATTGGCGAATTGATAGAATGGTCGTATGATTTTGTTAGATATTTAAATTTTCTAAAACGTTCTTTAGATAGATTGTGTGCTTATATTCCTGGAAACGAAGCGACTGGTCAGTCGTAAAGGGATGTTTGGTTGGTGTAGTTTTGGTCTACCATAAAATCAAGGTGAAATAGGTCTCTTAGATATCATTCGCCACTGTTTTAATGTGTGCGTGCATGTGTGTGTGAGTAGCTTGCTTGATTCTGATCCTACCTGGCTTTATTTCCTCATCTGTACCGCCCGCGTATAGTTGAATAGATGCCAGGTGAATAGATAAGTGTGAGAGAGATGCACATTTCACATTGCTATTAGTTTTGTTATTGCTTGGCTTAAAGATTGACTGAGTTTTTATTAACATAGAAGTAAACTTTGCACAGAAGTGCAGAAGCTCAAATCGCCACACCCCAACCATATAGCACTAGACGGTATGGAGAATGAAGCGAAAAATTCCAAAAGACTATTTTTGCCGAATGGAACGCAGGGCTTCAGCTCACAGCTTCCTAGCACTTCTATCCCATATCATCTCATTTCTTCGTTAACGTGGGCAACCTAACAAGCTTTTTACATTCTACGAAAACTATATATATATATATATATATATATATATATATATATATATATATATATATATATATATATATATATATATATATATAGCCGTTTTTCACATCAAATTTCTCTATCAATCAAGTGGTTACTCTGGTTAATCAGTTTTAGGTACAGCAGCGGGTTAAAATGAAGAGGTTAAAGGTCATCAAAACAATCAACTAATAGTAAAAAGAGGAAGGAGGGGTGCGAATTAATTACGGAATTCAAGATAAGTTGATTCGTAGGCGTTAGCATTAAGTTGTTACACAATAAAGAAATTTGTAAAAAATGATGACTAAGAAGAGTCGGATGACTCAAAAGAGTTACGTAACAAACAAACAAGTTAATAGAATTAACTAGAATTGTAAAAAATTGACAAAGTCAAAAGGTAGTTTCAAATGGAGAGAAAAAGCTGTTTTCCAAAATTTAATACATATTATGTAGTTGGCCGTGGCAAGAAAAGGGGCTGTACACATTTATTTTGAACCCACATACAGATTTGGCTTGTTCAGATGAATTCTGATTGCCTCTGGTGTATTTGTGAATGTGTTACTCGTAGACCATGCGAGAGGTTTGATGATATACGATGAATAACTTTAGAAGCTTTGTTAGAGTCGAATTGATACCTAGTATCGAGGAGATGAGCTACTATTGAGGTGTGTAGAGGAGGTTAATTCGGGGTTTTGCCAAACCAAGATGGGAGGTGTTCAGAAATTTAACGATGAAGCAGCCTTGATCGTACACCCAGTGTAACTAGATCCGGACTGACAGTTAAGCTGATAAATACATATGGAAGAGGCGAAGCAGGGCAGTTTGTCTTTATTTCTTGAACTAAGTATTGTTTGGCTAATAAATATACAGCATAGCTCAGCTGCGTAGAAAGTCCTTTTGAAGGCCCTTTGTACAGCCCCATTTCACCCCGCTGCTGTGCCTAAAACTGATGAACTACTTGATTGGTAGAGAATGTTGGTGTGAAAAACAGCTACATATTAGTGTAGAGCCAGACAGCCGATGATGAGGAATTAATCGGAAAGGAATGCATATTTCTTCGTTCAACCTGTTGTTTTTTCTAGAGATATTTTTGTTGTGCTTTGGAGTTTTGACAGTAATTGGATTGGTTTTTCAGGGTAGGACTTCTAGCTATACACCCGACCTCCCGTCTCTACCTGTCGTTTAGGACTGGCTAGATAACTAGCGAACTAGTAGTTTCAAACGAACTAAAGGAAGCAGAAATGTATGCAGGAAGGAATCATCATATGGCGAGATGTGATGATGTAGTGAAGGATCTGGGAGATTTGTTAGTCATATCACCAGTAGTTATCTTCAGTCATTGATTTTTATTGCCTGTCGTCGGCCAACAATGATTTACAGGTCAGTTTTCATTCATTCACATTCCTACATTCATTATTCAGTAAAATATTTAAGCTTATATTCTGTGTTTTGTAAAATTGCATTTCAATCCATAGAGAAAAATTATCAACTTCGGCGCAAGATTCATCCCTTGAGGTTATTACAGAAAATCTTCGCCGTTTGTTGATGACCGCTCCACTGCGTATCCCAACTTCTGCAAATCAAACAGCAACGAAGTATAAAAATGAGTTGGGCATAATTTCTTCTGCAGCTGGTGCACCAGGTGATCGTCTACCTGTTGTCGGCTTGGTTCCAGGCTGGAGAAATGGATGTAAATGGGCCGCATGTGATCCGCATGGAAACGTTCTGGCCACAGGGATATTATGGCCACCGCACACGTATATATTGAAACAGCTGAATGGGCCGAGAGAGAATAATGGTCTGGGAGCGTTAACGGCTGTCATGCAGCGAAATCAGTGAGAATCATATGATCATCACGATTTTATTTCTATTATTATTATTTGATGAAAAACAGGACCAGCTGTTCAACAAAGAGTTTCTTTTTTATCAGCGATTTCATTTTCCGCCTTAGGCGTATTATTGTTATTATTCCTTTGAGTCCCGGGTAAGACAAAGTCTCAACGTCAGATTTTGTCCTCACAATTCGTCTCCTCCTGACACAATCTCCTTCATGCCACCCTCGAATGTATGGCCAACTCACCATTTTCCATTCGCGATCCATTCGAGCTGTGGTCTAATCGCGACATGATGTCATCCAACGGTCTCCTCAACGTGTGTCCAGTCCACCTCCATCTGTTTCTCAATATTTGTTGAGCCAATAGGTTCATGATTGATTTGTTCTCTGAGTTTCCTCTTGCTTATTCTTTCTGACTGGCCATCATGTCTTTAGTATGAAAGCCAGTGAAAGCGGGTGTTGGTAAAAGTCTGAATCGACCTGTTGAAAATGCTTTTCGTGACGTACTGGTGACATTTCTCACCCATACAGAAGAACTGACTGACTTAACAGGGGTGTTGACAATCCGAATTTCTGTCCTTATGCTTCGCAAATTAACCACGTTCATTTCGGGTACATCACTGTTATTATGGCTGTATTGAGTTGAATAGCACCATTGGTTATTACTTATGATCTGTGTCGCCAGTCGCGTCGTTGGAACAGAGGTAGAATGCCCGCCAACCACGCCTCATTTGGTTGGAGATTCGATCCCCGGCCACCGACGCACTCCCTTACTTCGGTCAGCCAGTATTATTATTATTGTTCCTTTGGGTTTCTAGTGGAACATAGGGCTTCAACTGCACGTCTCCTCTTGCTTCTGTCTTCTGCTGTACTTTTCACCTGCATCCATGTTAGTCCATACTGTTTCAACTCCCCGTCACACGATCTCCACCATGTCACCCTTGGACGTCTCACTCGCCGCTTCCCTTTCAGGTTCCACTCGGGGGCCTGACGCACGATGTTACCCAGCGACCTCTTCAAAGAGTGTCCAATCCAACTCAACTTTCTCCCGCATATTTGTTGGTTGGCGATTGCTTCTTCTTTTTGCTTTGTTTCTTCCCATAGTTTCTTGTTGGTGATTCTTTCCGGTCCGGCCATCTGATCTTCAGTATAGAGCCAGCGAAGACAGTTGTTGATGATGAAGGTTTGCAGCAGGCTGTCGGAAATATTCTTTGTGATCCGCTCGGCAAGTTTCTGATCCGTATAGAACAACTGATTCAACGGTGTTTGTATTGAAAATCCGACGGAATTTTGTTGTTGATGCTGAGTGACAAAGATTTCCAGATTGATTTCAGGTTGATGAATGTGTTTCTCGCCCGCCACCCGATTCTCGCTCGATTTGATATCCTCGTCCGTTCCTCCTGTAGTTGAGACAATGCTCCCTAGATAAGTGAATGAAGTAACCTCTTTCAAATCCCTCCCATTGATGGTGATTGTCGCTGGATTTTGCTGCTGCTGTTGTTGTTGTTGGCTGGTTATTTTCATAACCTGCCTCTTGTTCACCTATGTTCACCTGGAGTCTTGTCTTCACTGTCTGCTTCTTCAACCAGTTTGTCGGTTTTCGCTTGTAAGTCTTCGATTTTGTGTTACATCAAACATAAATCATCCACGCGGGAAATCCAGGTCTTCAAGGTTCTTCACGTTGGTCCAGGATATTCCTGTCTTGTCGCTTCCCACTGTCTGATGCATAATCCAGTCAGATCATCACAACTAGGAATATCATCGTCGGTGATAATAAGCACCCTTGCCTGACTCCTGTGTTTACTTGAAACGCCTCGCTGAGTTTTCCTTTGTGGATCACTTGACATGTCCCGTTGTCGTACAGCTGTTGAATAAGGTTGATGAATATTTGGGGTACGCCGTAGTACTCGAATAGTTTCCAAATTACTTCGCTGTCAACGCTGTCGAAGGCCTTCTGAAAGTCTATAGATTTGAGGTAGAGGTTTGATCACCATTCCATGCTCTGTTCGATGATGATGCGTAGAGCTGCAATTTGGTCAGAACATGATTTGTCTTTCCTGAATCCAGCCAGCTTGTTCTGGTCGGACTTCTGTATCCAGTGCGTCCTTTAATCTCTCCAGGATGATGCGACTCGGGATTTTACTTAACGTCGACTGGAGCACGATTCCCCGCCAGTTCTTGCAGAGTCCCGAGTCGCCCTTCTTTGGTAGTTTCACGAAGTAAACTTTCCTCCAGTCAGCAGACACCTTTCCTTCCTTCCAGACCTTTTTATTTATTTATTTTGATTACAGCTTGATTCCACACTGTATTTTTGGTACAAGTATGGAATTTTCAGCATGGATATCGGTAGCCCAAATTTTGCAGGCCGATCATAGTTATCAGGTGTGCGTCGGTAGGAGATCGAACCTCGAACCATTTGCATGGTCGGCGAGAGTCCTAACCACTGTGCCACCGACGCACTTTTGCAATAATGGAGTCAGCATATTTGCTTTCGTCTCTGGGTCCGCTTTCAGTGCTTCAGGGGGTATTCCATCTGACTGATAAGGAGGGAAGATTTAGATATGAGACTAGCAACCCTATCCCGTAGAAATAAGCATCCTTGGTACCGAAAGTTCAAGTCTCTGGCTTGTTGCCCTATGTTTCACTGGGGATGTTAAGGAATAGAAAAATATGTCGCCAGTCTCAATGGACTGATTGACATTTTGTTATAGCTGTGTCCCCATTTGATATGACCTCGTCGACAGTTGATATCCGTAATAATCTAATAACGGATTAGATTTACGCGAACTATAATAATACTGACGCAATGAAAAACTCAGCTGATATGCTAGACACATCATGGTATTTCTCCGCTTTACTGAGCCACGTATATATATATATATATATATATTGCGCGCGCTTTTCGACTATTACGCTACATTTTGGTCATAAATAAAATCTCTTATTACTCTAAAATTTTATGCAAAGAGTTTGCGGAAATTATCACAATTATTAACCTTTCGAACACTGAATCCAAAAAATACAATCTTATTGACAGATAATACACATAACTCACTGTTTGGATTTGTGGAATTTTTAAACATAAACACATCTATAATTGTATATATTGTTGGATTTATATGTTCAAGTTGCTCCAAGTCAGTGAGTTTATGGTTAAGATATCATTTTAGTTAAATGTACTGAACTATATTGCATGTTGTCTTATTGTATAGTTGTCGTCGCTTTTTGCCCTTTTTTCTGTGAACTGTTTCCTTTGTTGATGTTGTTCTCATTGTTTGTCCGTTATTTTCTGATTTTGAGGGGAGCAACCCAAAAAGTTGCTTCTCTCTAAACTTTTACTTAATGTAATCATTCTTTTCTCAGGCGTGAGGCTAGCAACCCCACCCTGTAAACAAAAATTGCTAAAGAAACTTCAGTATGTTGAACCTCCTTGCACCAAAAGAAAAAGTCTGTGTAGGAACATGGAACGTCCGAACTATGTACGAGACTGGGAAAGCTGCCCAGATCGCCAACGAGATGAAAAGATACGGAATACAAGTGCTGGGAATATGTGAGAGCAGATGGAATGGGAGTGGACTCACCAAATTGTCAACAGGTGAGTCAGTGATCTACTCCGGTCACCCAGAAGATAACCACACGCACACCGAGGGCGTGGCTATCATGATGTCACCAACGGCAACGAAAGCCCTGATACAATGGGAGGCGATTTCGTCCAGGATAATGACCGCCAGGTTCAACTCCAAAGGAAGGAAAGTGTCAATCATACAATGTTATGCACCCACAAACAACGCAGACCTCGAGAAGAAAGAAGAATTCTACAGGCAACTACAGGCAACAATGGACAATACTCCAGCTGGCGACATGAAAATACTAATGGGAGACATGAACGCCAAACTGGGACCAGACAATACGGGAAGGGAACTCATCATGGGTAGAGAAGCTCTAGGAGAAATGAATGAAAACGGAGAACTCTTCGCCGACTTCTGCGCCTTCAACGAACTGGTGATTGGTGGCAGTGTATACAAGCACAAAGATATCCACAAGGCTACATGGGTGTCACCAGACGGGCAAACCAAAAACCAAATCGACTTCATCTCAATCTCAAGGAAGTGGAGGCGCAGCCTACTGGACACAAAAGCAAGAAGAGGAGCAGACGTTGGCTCAGACCACTATCTCGTACAAGGGACAATCCAAATCAAATTAAAAGCTTTCAGGGAATCAGGAGCTGCAGATAGACCACAAGCCAAGTTCAACACTCAAAAGCTGAAGGACCAGGCTACAAAGGACATCTTCATTGCAAGCATAAAGGACAAAGCCGAGACACAAATCAACACTAGCGAAGAGGTCGGCGTTGAAAAGCACTGGAACAACTTGAAAACGGTGTGGAGCCAAACCTGCATAGAAATTCTAGGCAGAAAAAAGAGACAGGACAAACAGTGGCTCACTACGGACACTTGGAAACTAATAGAAGAGAGAAGGACAGTGAAGCAAAAGATTATCCAGTGCACTGACGAGCAACAAAAACAGGAGCTGAATGCAAGCTACAATACACTGAACAAAAGAGTGAAGAAAAGTGCCAGGGAAGACAAAAGAAAATATTATGAAACCATGGCAAACGAAGCAGAACAAGCTGCAGGCAAAGGAGACCTCGCCACACTCTACCAAACAACTAGGAACCTTTCGGGCAAACGTTCGACACAGATTAAGCCAATAAAGGACGACAATGGAAAGTCAATCACCAAAGAGGTGGAACAGAGAAAGCACTGGGTTGAACACTTCAAAAGACTTCTAAATCGTCCGCCACCTACAACACGTCCAGCAATACCAACAACGGAAGCAGAACTACCAGTGAACACTGACCCCCCGACGAAATCAGAAGTCCTGAATGCAATCAAGATGCTTAAAACTGGGAAAACACCGGGACCAGATGGAATCCCAGCAGAGGCTTTGAAAATAGACCCAGAGACAACAGCGGACTTGATGACACCACTACTGGAGAAGGTGTGGAAAGAGGGCAAAGTACCCGAGGATTGGAAGAACAGTTACTTATTCAAACTTCCAAAGAAAGGAGACTTAAGTCAATGTAAAAACTGGCGTGGAATTATGCTTCTGTCCATTCCAAGCAAGATACTAAGTCGCATCATCCTGGAGAGAATCAAACAAGCCCTAGATGAAAAACTTCGTCCGGAACAGGCTGGATTCAGGAGAAACAAATCATGTATTGATCAAATCGCCACTCTACGGATCATCATTGAACAAAGCTTGGAATGGCAGTCACCTCTCTATCTCAACTTCATCGACTTTGAAAAGGCCTTCGACAGCGTCGATCGAGAGGTCATTTGGAAACTACTTCGCTACTACGGGGTCCCATCGACAATTATACACCTCATCCAACAGTTATACGACAATGCTGCATGCCAAGTAATCCACAACGGGAAACTTACGGAAGCCTTCGAAGTGAGGACGGGAGTGAGGCAAGGCTGTCTACTATCACCAATGATCTTCCTGATTGCAATTGATTGGATAATGCGACAGACAACGGCAACCAACGAGGGAACAGGCATAAAATGGACTGACACAAAAGACTTGGAGGATCTGGATTTCGCCGATGATATATGTCTGATTTCCCATAAACTGGAAGATATGCAAGTGAAAAGTAACAAGTTGGCAGAAGAAGCATCAAAGATAGGACTTCACGTGAACATAGATAAAACAGAGATGATGAAGATTCCTAGCCAACATCAACAACACAACAGACCACAATAAGCATAAATGGGAAGAACCTGAAAGAAACAACCTCCTTCACCTACCTGGGAAGCATCGTCTCAACTACAGGCGGAACTGACGAGGACATCAAAGCCAGAATCGGAAAAGCAAGACAAGCTTTCATTACTCTCAAATCTGTGTGGAGGTCAACAGCATCAGCATCAAAAATAAGATCCGGATTTTCAACTCCAATGTGAAGTCAGTGCTACTATACGGATCAGAGACTTGGCGAGTCATAAAGAGCATCTCAAACAAACTTCAAACCTTCATTAACAACTGTCTCCGCTCAATACTCAAGATCAGATGGCCAGAAAAGATCAGCAACAGGGATCTCTGGGAGCGAACCAATCAGGAACCGATTGTGAAACAAATAGGCAGAAAGAAATGGAGATGGATTGGCCATACGCTGAGGAAACCATCAAGTGACATCACTAGACAAGCCCTCGAGTGGAACCCGAAAGGGAGGCGGCGAGTTGGTCGTCCAAGGGTGACTTGGAGGAGGTCATGCGAGGAGGAGATGAAAGCATGTGGACAGACCTGGAGCAGGGTGAAAAAGTTGTCAGAAAACCGAAGTCAATGGAGGTGCGCAGCTGAAGCCCTATGTTCCTCTAGGAACTAAAGGATACAATAATAATAATAATAATAATATATATATATATATATATATATATAAGCGAAAAATAGATTGTTCTCATTGGTAGGGGATTCGGCTAGGTCTGCGAAAAATAAATATTCTAGTGTTGGTGTGTGGGGATTGGATTTGATTGGTTACAGGATTTCATCATGCGCTGACATTGATTAGGGAACCATTGGAAAACTTGAAACTTGCCACGCAGCTGTTCCATCCTATTTTAGAAATCTGAATTAGCAGAAGTTGGTATTCATGGGCTGGTCATTGCATCGGGTCCCAGTGGCTTATTGGTCTACGTACTCTGCTTGTAACCGGATGGTCCTGTGGTGGGTGCCTATTGTTGAAGGAAGGCGATGGCTAGGCATACGTGCGTTAACAGATGTCCTAACCGTCTCAATCGATGCAGCTGCTTCACAACCACCTCTTCGGTCGGTTTCCCCTCCTTAACGAGTCTGGCACTCGACCTATGTCTAACCTCAGTAATACTCACCTTATTATAGCACTACGTAACACGGGAGATAGAACGCAGGCACATATGATCATCTGATAAGGCGATGAATCTGATTACTATTTCGAGCCAATCAACTATTTAGAAGAAGATCCGTTTATAATGCTTTTTTTACTCACAGTTTCATTTTATTTCATTTTTCTTCATATCTTATCACCTTTCACAGTATTGAGACTGTTGCTCTCGGAAATGGACAAGGCAGTCGAGAAACTGGTTCTTGGTTATCTTATTTAATTAAAACTGACCACTTCAAACCATTAAAAATTCGTTTTGCTGTTGTCAGTGAATCCGGTGCCTCTTATTATAGTGCTTCAGAGTTGGCCTGTAAAGAATTACCAAATTTAGATGTGACTTTCAGGGGGGCTGTGTCAATTGCCAGGCGATTACAAGATCCACTAGCTGAAATGGTTAAACTTGACCCGAAACATTTAGGCGTGGGTATGTACCAACATGATATTCCAGAACGTCGACTAATCGGTGCTCTTCGTGATGTTATGGAAGAGTGTATTAGTTTTGTTGGTGTTGATTTGAATGCCGCTCCACTGCATATTTTATCTCATGTAGCTGGTTTGTCTGAGGCGAAAGCAAAAGCAATTTTAGCCTATCGGTCTCAAGTTGGACCATTTCGATCGAGAGCTGATCTTCTCAAGGTAATTTTCATTTGTATATATATATATATATATATATATATATATATATGTTTGTTAGGTGGCATTCCTTTATTCTTTTGTGAAAATCAATATTATGGATCAAAATTTGTTATAATGTTGGCATTTGCATACTTCACCATAATGTTGAGATTAAAATAAAGGCGTCAGACTTGATACGGACGCGGTGATCACGAAAATTGCTATTCCTAAAGCCAACAGCACTATACGATAGCCACTTGTGTCAAGTGTTGGTTTGCAGGCGTCTTACTTGGTGCAAGATTCATGACGAGCCGGCATCAGTTACAGAAGCATTGGAAAGTCAGCATGGCTGAATACTGGACACATGTATGTCCTAGTTTGAGACTCTTCGACAGTGGGTTCGAACCCAGGACCCTTTTCTTACAAGGTGATCTCTTGAACCATTAAACCACTGGGACCTGACCCAGTGGTCGTAACCAGCAGTGTCCACCAACTCAAATAAGAGGACTTTTGTTCGCGCGTGACATTGACTAGCAGTTGTGCTAAACATGTATCATGAATTGGCCGAAGTCGGAATTCATCGTCAATGATATAGGCTTCGGAGAAGATAACCACAAAAGAATAACCGTTTGTCTTTTGTGTCTACATACTACTTCCCCCTTTAGGAGGGACTTATTACGCGGTATTAACCAGGGAATGCACCATCTATTTTCTGTACCTGGTTGACCAAAGTCAGAATGGTGGTCTGCTGTTTACTGGAACGTCTAGGACATTTGTGACCTCATCATCACAGCGTGATATGCTGTGGAACGATCGAGAACAAGATGTTCTGTTCAAGACGGAAGAGTTTGGCGTCAACTTGTGGTAATTAAGCACAGGCCTCTATGATTGGCAAACAGGGTTTGCACCATCTGGGGCACGTGGTATCTGAACATTGACAAGTTCTTCTCGGGGCAGGTGCTGATTGAGAGCACTCTGTGACTATTTGTCAAGGGTGGCTATTGTGAGTGCCGTTGTGTTTGTTGCTGACTAAAACCGTCTCCGTATCCAACATTTGTGCTGTCTTGGCGTCGGTGTTGCGTTTGCAGATAAGAATTCATGAATTGTTAAGCATCACAACATCAGCGGGATTATGGAGATATCATCTTTGAGCGCTGATTGGTATTGGACACTGGTCGTTTAGGGTGGGACCAGGGGGGCAGAGGTTTTGAGAGGTCTGGCGAACTACATGGAATTAAAGACTAACCTGGCGTCCAAACTGTATTTAATTGATTGTTCGTGGAATTTGTCAGACGTTGAAGAATCCAAAAACCCCGTCGTCAATATGTTTCTATGTCGCCACATTTATATTTCTCAATAGTATTAGAGATTGAAATGAGAACTCTGAGCTAGATACCGCCGCGGTGATCACGCCATATCGCTAGGCTACTGTTCCCAAGCTAGAAAGGAGGAATAAATCAATAATTAAGCCACGTATCCTTCTTTACGACTCTCTTATTTCAATTTTCCGTGTGTTGTTCAATGAGAATGAGGTTGGTCAGGCGTAGGCGGTTTTAGTAAAGCGGGAAATCCAATCATCTACGAGGTTGTGAAGCTACTTCGTTGGCTGTGATTTGTGTTACTACACGTGGTCGACCGCTAGCTGCTACTTTGAGGTGGTGGTCGGGCTTGAGTATCGCAATGGCAAGTCAAACTACAATGGTCGAAACAAATGTTCCTGCAGGTCGCCTACTTACCTACCATGAAAGAAAGATCGTTCAGATAATGAGCGGTCAGACTAGAAACCTTTGTCATCATAGTGTGTAAGTTGGTCACAAAATGTATTGGAGTCTGCAGACAAGGCTGTACTGTTGGTAAATAAGTATTGAAGAGCAGTAAGGTGTTTCTCAGATAACTAACACTCCAGTTATGCTGCCTATCCTCCTTTTTGGAGAGGATTGGATGGGGGACTAGAAAGGTCGACCTGGAAATTTTTATATCTCGACTGAACTTGTGGCGGTTTGTAGCCGGTGTTAAGATCTTAACATGGACAGAATCCCCAAAGCGCACGTCCCTAGACTGTGCTGTGTGTTACTCAGCCCTACTGCTCCTTCTCTTTCAGCTAGTCCAAGAGGAATTCAACTTCTATGGCGCAAACAACCGGCCAGCAAAAGCCGCTCACACACACACACACACTTCCATGAGCACATGTAGTAGTCAGTGGAAAGAATTAGCACCAAGGAATTCTGGTAGTCACCGTACCAATCAAGAACCTATTGGTCGACAAACATAGTAATAAAACTAGAGACATATGAGACGCACGCTGAGGAGATAGTTGACATCAAGTACCAGACCCTTGAGTGGTAAACGACGAGCTGGGCGTGTAGTTGAGGGTGTGAAAAGCAGTTGAAATCCTAAGGGTGATCGTGAGGCTAGCTAAAGAGGACTGCATAGAACACGATAGAATGGAGCTGTGTTATTGGAGTCCTATGTTCCACTGGAAACCCAAGTGAATAATAATAATTATTATTGCTTAGTAGGAATGTCTCAGAGTGTAGTACTGGGTGAAGTATTGTCGGACCTCAGAAAGGCTGGTATCATTTCATTTATTTCGAGGTTGTGCAGATACACCTTAGTGTCAAGTACCAAAGAAAAAAACACGAAACACGGATTCAGGGCTCTTCAACCACCTAACACATACTTTAGACTCATATATATATATATATATATATATAGACTTTACTTGCAGTAACTGATTATATTAACTCCAGTGTTCATATTGGGATAAGTAGTATTCGACTTTATTTCTAGGTTAAAGGTATTGGAAAGCCAACTTTTGCTCAATGTGCTGGATTTGTTCGAGTAAAACCCGCCTATTCAGCAACTACTTTAGATGGTACAAAGTAAGTTTTGTGTGTATGTGTGTGTTGAGTTATGTGCTGTTGTTTTTTTCTTCACCTCTCAGTAAATTATTAAAATCATTTTTTTTCATGTGACTCAAATGTATTTCAGACAGTCAGTTCAACGTGTTATTCGGCCAATATCTATCTAGGCATTTTCATGCTGTTAGAAAAATTCACCCCAATCCACTGTAATCGTTACACTAATCGTGTAATTATGTGTTCGTAATAGTAATAGTAATAATCAGTAATAATTGATTATTTTCATTGTAAACTGTTAGCATCATCAAGAGACACTAATGATTCACTACTGAGGGGTTCTAACCTAGAGCGAAACAAGTGTCAAGTGCTTCCTTATTAATCTGTTCATAAGATATATCACACAGTGAGTGAAACACTATTGTTTACTGGATGATAAAGTTTCGAACACAATTTATTTATTGTTCATAATCATATCGGCAATTATAATCACACGACTTCGAAACTGGTGTTTTTTAGTTTTTTTTATTCTCTCCTGTTTGTCGTCCTGGGGGTAGTAGACTTTTCCAGATATCTGGGTGGACAGGTGTTTAATCATTCCTATTACACGTATTGGTTCGCAGCTGATTTGATGAATAAAGCTTCCGTTGCCAATCTCTCCCTTAAGTATGTTAGTTATATTAGATTATAAAACTGTCATCTTATCCCAAACCATCGTACTGTATGGTTGTGTGCAAGTGCATTTAGTGTAATGCTATAGCTGAACTATTTTCTAGATTCCTAATCTTACTAAGGTCAACTAGTGTAACCTTGCGGAGAATTCTTAACAGTGCAGGAATAAAAGTGACATTGAAACCCACACGCTCAATTAGAAACAAGCTTCGTTGGTTAAAGGATCAATCCTGTGGAGCCAGTGAAACAAAGCAATCTAGTTTATCTAATACTCTGCTGGAATAATTGTCAGTGATGTCAAATACATAGGTCGAAGTAGTAGAAAAGGGGCAGTCAGTCATACTAGCCGAGCATAAAAAAACCTAGCAGCGAAATCTAGATTAGTTAACCCGAATAAGATAAAAAAATCTAGAGAATAGTTCAGTTATAGCAACACACCACATGCAGTTACACACTCTGTCTGTTTGTGACATAGAACTTTGCACATATGTGCACCAGTTACACACAGCCATGCAATGCAATATGATGGGATGAGATTAGGTGGTAGTTTTAAAATCACAGGTTGGAGGGAGAGATCGATAACTGACTGAGGATTTGTTAATAGAATCAACCGCAAATCCGTGCAGTAGGAATGATTCATTACCTGTTCCAGATATCTGGAAAAGTCTAATACCCCAACGACGACAAATAGGAGAGGACAAAGAAACCGATGAAATTCTAGTTTCGAAGTCGTGTGATTATAATTGTTATGATTATGAACAGTGATGAATTGTGTTCGAAACTTTATCATCCAGTAAACAATAGTGTTTCACTCACTGTGTGATATGTCTAATAAACAAATTAATGTTGAATTGCATACTACCACACTGTCCAAGTTTTACACATATATTAAGTGTTAAACGCTCCCTGGTTTACAATGATCTGTGTCACTAATGTTAGATCCTGACGAAATCCTCATTGAACTTCATTTAAATCGCTACAGAAGCCCTTAATCTAAATAACGATCTACAGCTCCTCGACGACTACTGGATAGATAATGTTTTGAAGCTGTTGTGAGAGGTTCCAACTGTTAGAATTGTTCACCATGTCAAGGTGAGGTGGATGTTAATTGTAGGCGGTGGTTGAGATTAGCTATGTATTCAGATAAACACCTAGATTAGCGAAGAGGTTTTTTCCGGTGAAATCATTTTCCTTCTTAGCTGTAAAATCGCGTGTATATACACAGTATCTTTTCCATGAACTAGTAGTAACAAGAGTGATGGGTTGTCATCAAAATAGTTGCTAATATTAGTCAGTGCATAAAAGAATTTAATTAAGTGTAATAAAATGATTAATTTAGTGTTTGTGTGTGTGTATGTGTGAATTGTGATCCAGATGCACGTGGAATAAAAGAAGGAAAATAGGGAATTATTTAAAAGTTGTAAGAGTTATGAGGAGTTACAAAAACAAGCGTAGCTCTGGTTTTTCTAACTGAATGGCTAAAGCTTCGACAGTGCAAAAAGAAGATGGAAGCGTATTGCCTTTGACAGGTTGGTATTCTTCATTTTGTAGATTGAATATTTTGAAGGAGGAGACGTCTGTTGAGGTGGGATGAGCAGTGTTGACAAGGTGTCCGATTATCTCGCACTTCTAAATGAGTCGCTACTACTCTTCTCCAGCCGTGCGGTGTAGTGTTCTTCAACCCTTTTAGACAGGATACGCGTCGAACGACCAATGTACCTGTCTCGACAGCAACAGGTTTACTGACATGCATACAAACAAAGAAGTGGTCACACACATGATGTTGTCCTTAAGACTTCTGCAGACCAATGGACAACTGGAAAACACAAAATCTTAACATTGCTGCGATGAATATCCTCCCCAAAGATTCAGAAATATCCTCAGGCCATAAGTGTCTCCTGAAATCCAGGTTCTTGTTAAGTTTCTTTTTGTGTCTATATTCATTCATGCTATTCTTTTATTGCAGTATTATTGATTTTGACTGGTGAATACTAATACACATTGACGGTGTTCTCTGCTGTTCCGTTTTATCTGTCTTCCAATGCCTAACTACAGGGATGTTGAAGTGATTTCTGATGAAGATGTTGACGACAGAGATGATAATAATAATAGTAATAATAATTATGGTGGAGTTGGCGTTGGAGTTAAGCATAAACGTGGGGCTGAATCAATTCGAGAACATGTTAGTAAAAAGTCATGCTTAAAGTCATCATCTACCAATAATGCTCAGTCTGGTGTGAATTGTTTCAATCCCTTAGATCAGACAGCTGTTCATCCGGATACATATGGTATTGCAACAAGGTGAGTACTATTACTGTTTCTATTACTATTTATTATTATTCATTTCTTATTTTTCATTTGCATACCGATCGGTCGTCTGCTATCACTTTCAACTAATTAGCGACCAATGGGGTTGACAATTTCACGGTGATGTTTTCACGAGATTAAAAAGTGAGAACTCAAGGGCTATGGAATCCCGCCCCCTCCAGGTGACTGAATGAACTTGATCTCATTACAACCTGTAGGTCCCTGATGTTCGATTCCTAGTAGTGGGGTCTTGGGTCATGTACACTGATGAAGAGTCCCAAACTACGCGAGCGAAACACCTGTGTCCAGTACTGCTCCGTGATAGTTTTCAATGTTCTGTCTAACTGATGCCTACAAAAGCTCTCTCTTTCTCTCTTCATATGCTCTCTTCCATGTCACCCATGGACAACCGAAGCCCTTACTCGAGTGTCCCTCGACGGCCTGGTGTTGTCACTGAAATGTGACTTCCTTCAGTGTATGTAAAATTCAACTATCTCAAATATCTATTCTCCAGTCTGCTTCCTCTGCTAGAATTCTATTTGTGTTCGCTTACATATCCCTTTCTGACCGAGCGACTGGCTGTCTGATTGATCTTTAGTATCGGGTGAAGAAGGTAACTCCTGTATATTCCAATCTCCATTCCCTTCTGAATATTTGTTTGTAGCAATGTGTATTCATGGCGGTCTTTTACTTGTTCTGTCCTGTTGATTGTCTGATTTGTAGGATTGAGTGTAGGTAGGTAGGCATCGATGAAAGTCTGTAATAATAATAGCTTTATTCTGAACGGTATTCATATATAGTATACCGAAAGTTCAGGGGAATTTATTGAACAGTAGTTTCTCTTTCTCCACTATCTTCAAAGAAAAGTAGTAAATGACAGTAGATTGTGTGATACAATGCTGTATAACCTAAGGCAAAAACCGCGATTTGTTTTTATTCCGGTATTTATTTTTTGGGATGGGGTTGCTAGCCTCATGCCGCCCTACCTTCCCACTTTACTAGTCTTACTACTGACCTAAAAAGGTAAAGGAGTGGTCAATAGCCGGGGATCGAACCCCGAACCACATGAGGCGTGGTTGGCGAGCCTTCCGCCGCTGTGTACCACTGACGCAGAAAACTGCTGTCCCTAATGATATTTATTCTTTGTCTCCATCGACAAATGCACAAAGTTTAAAGTCAGTTAAAAAAGACGCACACGAGTACATTTTGGGAACCAAGAACGTAAATTCTCAGGAACAGCAACTACCTCATTTATTGGTGTTTTTAGGCACTGACAGTTATACTGTTCCTCAAGTTTATTAGAAATTTATCAATCTGTAGGTAGTAGACATTTTGAGTGCTTGCGACAAGAGAAAACACCTCTAGAGGTCATATTTCACTAGATTATAACAAACTGAACAAGGTAGATAGAGGCTTATTTGGTAGCTCAAATTTTAAACTGACTACGTGATGACTGACTGTTGGAAGTACATTTTTTGCGACGTGTACACTGAGTCTCCTGAACTAGACAGAATCCCTGACTGACTTCATGCATTAGTGTTGAAGATGTGTATCTTTCTGCTGTAGATGTCTTTCAGAGTTGTGAAGAAAATAAAAGACAGTTCAATGAGGGCAATTTCTGCATTAGACAGCTGTTGTAGTTTTTTTTGACTCTGCTTATCAGCAGTGTATAACCTGTTTGACTAAGGTCAGTGACACGAATCTGTTCAGTCCAGCTGAATTCTAATCCACTAGATGTACTGATGTGGTGATAGCATTTTTGAATTCCATTATGCAGAGAAATTATCTTGATAAAGTCTTACAGTGTTTGTTATACTGTAATATTTACTGATGACAACGTTTCGATCACAATTTATTACTGTTCATAATTGTGTCAAGGTATACACACAACTTTTTCTTTAACTTTGTTTGTATAATTCCACTGAATGGTGGACCTGATAATGATAACATTAATAAGGGAGAATATAAGGCATCTAAGATTTTCACCATATACAAACAAGGGACATCTGAAACTCTACATAGGATTCTTAATAGAGCAGAAATTAGTGGGAAGCATTTAAACCTACAAACTCGCTCAGGTAGGATGAGCTCTGTAGGTTGGACGATCGTATTGCAATGACTATGAGGTTAACTACACGGGTCAAACCCAGGAGATTGTCAGAACATAAGAATTTAATTTTCAAGAATTTGGTTTGTAAGAATTTTGTACATAAAGGCACGATTTTTTCTTATTAATCTCTACAGCTTATGTTAAAGCTGAGAGTTGTAATCGTGTATCGTTTTGCAGATTCTTTGATAGTCGATATGCAGCCACAAATCACTCATCTTTTCTGATGTAATGTTCACTATCTACTAGATGACACAAAATGGCATTATTTATCGATTTGGTTACACTTTTTCAAAGCCAAACAGGGAACATGTTGACGAGCTTGTAAAGATTTGAATTCGTCTGAGAAGTTTGATCTATATATAACTAGCTGATTATATATGAGCAGATGAATTTGTATACAAGCATTGATGTGGCCATCTTAGGTAATTTATCCTTTCACTGCATTATGTCAGTATCGGTGTGGTTGAGAGTGTGATGTATAATTCTGAAGCTCTTTCAAATAGTTGAAATATATATCCAAGGCAAGAGTAAACAATAGAAACCAACGTCAAATGACCTTGAAACGACTAATCAAATCGTTCATCATTCATAATGGGTGCGGTTCATGAACTTCGTTGCAAGTTTCACACAGATTTCGTTTTTTGACTTTTGTGTGGAAAATGGGTTGATAGGAAGGTCTGAAACCTGCATATGTGGAGGGATAATGACGGTAGAGAAGTATTGCTGAGCTACTGACGGCTACGCATTTAGATGCAACCACTGTTACATGAGGAAATCTGTGCGAGTTGGTAAGTCATACATTATGGTAACTTTTTAGATACTTTCTTCTCCAAAACGAAATTGTCCCTGAATCAAGTATTGCGCATATGCCACAACAGGCTACTAAAGCGACCAGTATCTGCTACAGCTGCAAAAACGGAGAAAACAAAGTTTTCAACAGTGCAGTGGTATCAGTACTGTTGTGATATTGCCTCGCAAAAGCTAAATGGAATCACCTCTGTACTTGGAGGAGTTGGCATCGTCGTGCATATTGACGAAAGTGTACTTAATAAGCGAAAAATGAATCGAGGTAGGAGTAGAGCAAATCATGCTTGGGTACTGGGATTTTACGACACAAATCTCCGTAAAGGTTTTGTAGAACGCATCCCGAAGGGAAGTGCTGATGTGTTAATACTAATTATACAACTAGTCCTCCCAGGAACTACTATTCACACAGACGAATGGAGAGGCTATTCTCAATTATCATCACTAGGCTATATTCACCACGAAGTCTCAACCATTCCTCTGAACTGGTGGATTCTGTAACAGGCACACCTGCAAATTCCATTGAAAGATTTTGGACTCATCTCAAAAAACGTAGCAGAATGGTGAACGGTCTCCGAAGTGATATGGTATACGGCCAATTAGATGAGTTTTTGTATCGACATTGGTTTAATATGTCTATAACCACTCCTATGAGAAATTGGGACCAGTTTTTGCAGCATTTTAGAGACATTTATCCTGTATAATTCATTTTTACTACATATATATGTGATAAATGCAGTCTTTTTTATAAATTTTCTGCCACTTTTTAACTGAAATAATCTGATTGGTTGTTTCAAGGTCGTCTGGGGGTGGTGTCTTTTCTTTACTGTTGCCGAAAATCAAGTTTTACCTTGTAGTGTGCTCTGTCTCTTTCCGAGTTCATTGGTGCCTTCCCGCCCTATTCATTGCCTACAGTAAGACGTATCTGTGTGTAACTCTCGACATCTTATTAGAACCATTTCTAATCGACATAATGGTGTGTCTGAAAGTGGAACAGAAAATTGAGGCTTTGCCAAACTCTGACCCAATTTTCTCTAAAATACTAACCTAACCCCTAACACTATCTATTGGTTTGATTGTAGAGTTTTGATGGATTGACCGATAATTCGGACTGCCTCCACCTGTGAACTTGGAATGCCTTATTCACCTTCAATCATGACCCACTGCATAGTATAGTGTAGTGTACTGTATGGGTAAACTTTTTCACAGTGTGCCTATTGTTTTTTTCTTTTTCTTTTTATGTGTGGCTTCCTATTTCAGAATCATTTCAATGCTTAACTGTCAGCTGACAGATGTTGGATCAGCAAAGTTGAAAGGAGCTGCAATTCAATTTATGCTTAGTGCTGATCGTAAGTTTGAAAAATTTCAATATTTTCTCAACACACTTTTATTATTATTGTTATTCCCTGTGGTCCTGAGTGGAATATGAATATATATATATATATATATAGTGCTGTACCAATACATCTCCATTTGAACCTTGTTCTCTGAAGTCCCTTTTGGCTGGCCCCACGGTTGCCCATAATCTCTAATCTCCTCCATATCAACCTTGGAGTCACGCCCAACTGATTGTTTCGCATTCGGGTTCCATTCGAAAGATATGGCCTGGTACACGTGATGTCACTCAACAGGTCTCCTCAGCATGTGTGTCCAATCCATCTTTCTTTTTCTTTGGAATACTTTTATGAACGTTCAATTTGATCTCTTCAGTGTACGGAGCCATTGAAGTGGGCAACTGTGGATAAAAGTCGCCAGTAGTCTGTTGGAGATGATTTTTGCGACGCGTGCGCGCCAAGTTTCTTATTCCTTCTAAAAGAAACGATTGACTTAACATTTGTTATTGAAAATCTGTGCTTGGTTCTCTTTATGCTGAATGAGTACAGTAGGTTTTTCGAACTGGTTTCCGAGTAAGTAAAGGGGTCAGTCTTGTAGTTCCGATCCTGTCTGGTGTTGACATTCTCATGTGTACCGTCTGCTTGTAGTTAAAATAATAATAATAATAACAATAGCAGCTTTATTCCAAAGAGCACTTTTGCTTCAAAATATATAATTTTCAGCATGTAATACAATAAATATTGCATCTAATTTTCTCATCACAAGGGTAATAATTAATAATAATAATAATAATAATAATATGGTTCAATAAGAACATGAATATAACATTAAACCAAGTGAAAATATTACCTTTTCCTATAGTTTGATTTGTAAGGGTTAGTTTTGTTTTTAAGAGTTGATCATAGATTGATATCAGTTAGAGAATCATTGAAAACCAGTGGGTGCGTACTGCCGATGATTCGAAAACTAGGACAGAGGAAAAAGTTGTCCAGTACTCTCTAACTGATATCAATCCATGATCAACTCGTAAAAACAAAACTAACCCTTAGAAACCAAACTCTACGAAATTAATATGATGCTCTGTATTGACTTGCTATAGGACGGAGTTTCCTGGACTTCTAGTAAGAAGTCGTTACCAGTGAGGTCCATCCAGATGTCACGTATGAGGATGGATGTCCTACCGACGACAATGGTTGGGGTCGCTCTATATCACGAATTGGTAGAAGTTAGAGTTCATGCAGTGGCCATCGAATCGGGTCCCTGTGGCTGAATGGTATACGATTTTGCTGGCCATGTAACCGGATGGTCTTGGGATGGGATGGGATCCTGGTAGTTGGATGGGTGCATACTGTCGATGATTCCCGAACTAGGATGAAACAGCAGCTGTCCAGTACTCTTTGCTGGTTTTCAATGGTTCTCTAACTGAAATCAATCCATGATCAACTCGCGAAAATATTACCGACAATACGTAACAATGAGAACAAACAAAGAAATGCTGTACTGTACTGTACAAATGATGAAATGGTATACGAGCTCGCCTTGTAACCGGAAGGTCCTGGGTTAGAATCCCGGTGGGTGCGTACTGTTGTTCCGCAATAAGTTACTCATTTCCTGTCATACGCACCTTTCTAATCACATATATAATGTGTGTGCCTGCCAAATAAGGTATTGTAGAGGCTTTTGTACTTAGTCGTCCGAAAATACAGTCTTCTATAATTCTCACTTCTAGTTCTACCCGATGAGATAGGTAGATGCAAGGAGAGATTGGTGTATGGATAGGATGGTCAGAGTCTGACAGGATTATATTCGCTACTTTCTTTGCCTAAAATAGTATTAACGAGTGAGTTGGTTTGGCACCAAACCCACTCACCCTACTGAGGGTTTTTAGCTCCCTAAACAGCATAACAAACAAAGTCTTTCTTAAATAACCCGGGAAAGATTAAAGTTAGGGAGCTGTAAAGAAGGTGTAGGTAGAATACAAGAATTACGAAACGGTAACAGTAGAGATGACATGATACCAGACCGTTTCAACTTCCCTACATAGAACGTCAAATGAAATATATATTTCTGGGAACTCAAAAGATGATATAGGAAGACCAGAAAAGGTGATCAGGGGAAATACACAATCCAATGTATTTAACATCCAGTGCCATTTATGATATTGGAACCCTGCTATTTAACCAGTTCACGTAAGACGCTCTTATTATATATTATTATTGTATCCTTTAGTTCCTAGAGGAACATAGGGCTTCAGCTGCGCACCTCCATTGACTTCGGTTTTCTGACAACTTTTTCACCCTGCTCCAGGTCTGTCCACATGCTTTCATCTCCTCCTCGCATGACCTCCTCCAAGTCACCCTTGGACGACCAACTCGCCGCCTCCCTTTCGGGTTCCACTCGAGGGCTTGTCTAGTGATGTCACTTGATGGTTTCCTCAGCGTATGGCCAATCCATCTCCATTTCTTTCTGCCTATTTGTTTCACAATCGGTTCCTGATTGGTTCGCTCCCAGAGATCCCTGTTGCTGATCTTTTCTGGCCATCTGATCTTGAGTATTGAGCGGAGACAGTTGTTAATGAAGGTTTGAAGTTTGTTTGAGATGCTCTTTATGACTCGCCAAGTCTCTGATCCGTATAGTAGCACTGACTTCACATTGGAGTTGAAAATCCGGATCTTATTTTTGATGCTGAGTGCTGTTGACCTCCACACAGATTTGAGAGTAATGAAAGCTTGTCTTGCTTTTCCGATTCTGGCTTTGATGTCCTCGTCAGTTCCGCCTGTAGTTGAGACGATGCTTCCCAGGTAGGTGAAGGAGGTTGTTTCTTTCAGGTTCTTCCCATTTATGCTTATTGTGGTCTGTTGTGTTGTTGATGTTGGCTAGGAATCTTCATCATCTCTGTTTTATCTATGTTCACGTGAAGTCCTATCTTTGATGCTTCTTCTGCCAACTTGTTACTTTTCACTTGCATATCTTCCAGTTTATGGGAAATCAGACATATATCATCGGCGAAATCCAGATCCTCCAAGTCTTTTGTGTCAGTCCATTTTATGCCTGTTCCCTCGTTGGTTGCCGTTGTCTGTCGCATTATCCAATCAATTGCAATCAGGAAGATCATTGGTGATAGTAGACAGCCTTGCCTCACTCCCGTCCTCACTTCGAAGGCTTCCGTAAGTTTCCCGTTGTGGATTACTTGGCATGCAGCATTGTCGTATAACTGTTGGATGAGGTGTATAATTGTCGATGGGACCCCGTAGTAGCGAAGTAGTTTCCAAATGACCTCTCGATCGACGCTGTCGAAGGCCTTTTCAAAGTCGATGAAGTTGAGATAGAGAGGTGACTGCCATTCCAAGCTTTGTTCAATGATGATCCGTAGAGTGGCGATTTGATCAATACATGATTTGTTTCTCCTGAATCCAGCCTGTTCCGGACGAAGTTTTTCATCTAGGGCTTGTTTGATTCTCTCCAGGATGATGCGACTTAGTATCTTGCTTGGAATGGACAGAAGCATAATTCCACGCCAGTTTTTACATTGACTTAAGTCTCCTTTCTTTGGAAGTTTGAATAAGTAACTGTTCTTCCAATCCTCGGGTACTTTGCCCTCTTTCCACACCTTCTCCAGCAGTGGTGTCATCAAGTCCGCTGTTGTCTCTGGGTCTATTTTCAAAGCCTCTGCTGGGATTCCATCTGGTCCCGGTGTTTTCCCAGCTTTAAGCATCTTGATTGCATTCAGGACTTCTGATTTCGTCGGGGGGTCAGTGTTCACTGGTAGTTCTGCTTCCGTTGTTGGTATTGCTGGACGTGTTGTAGGTGGCGGACGATTTAGAAGTCTTTTGAAGTGTTCAACCCAGTGCTTTCTCTGTTCCACCTCTTTGGTGATTGACTTTCCATTGTCGTCCTTTATTGGCTTAATCTGTGTCGAACGTTTGCCCGAAAGGTTCCTAGTTGTTTGGTAGAGTGTGGCGAGGTCTCCTTTGCCTGCAGCTTGTTCTGCTTCGTTTGCCATGGTTTCATAATATTTTCTTTTGTCTTCCCTGGCACTTTTCTTCACTCTTTTGTTCAGTGTATTGTAGCTTGCATTCAGCTCCTGTTTTTGTTGCTCGTCAGTGCACTGGATAATCTTTTGCTTCACTGTCCTTCTCTCTTCTATTAGTTTCCAAGTGTCCGTAGTGAGCCACTGTTTGTCCTGTCTCTTTTTTCTGCCTAGAATTTCTATGCAGGTTTGGCTCCACACCGTTTTCAAGTTGTTCCAGTGCTTTTCAACGCCGACCTTTTCGCTAGTGTTGATTTGTGTCTCGGCTTTGTCCTTTATGCTTGCAATGAAGATGTCCTTTGTAGCCTGGTCCTTCAGCTTTTGAGTGTTGAACTTGGCTTGTGGTCTATCTGCAGCTCCTGATTCCCTGAAAGCTTTTAATTTGATTTGGATTGTCCCTTGTACGAGATAGTGGTCTGAGCCAACGTCTGCTCCTCTTCTTGCTTTTGTGTCCAGTAGGCTGCGCCTCCACTTCCTTGAGATTGAGATGAAGTCGATTTGGTTTTTGGTTTGCCCGTCTGGTGACACCCATGTAGCCTTGTGGATATCTTTGTGCTTGTATACACTGCCACCAATCACCAGTTCGTTGAAGGCGCAGAAGTCGGCGAAGAGTTCTCCGTTTTCATTCATTTCTCCTAGAGCTTCTCTACCCATGATGAGTTCCCTTCCCGTATTGTCTGGTCCCAGTTTGGCGTTCATGTCTCCCATTAGTATTTTCATGTCGCCAGCTGGAGTATTGTCCATTGTTGCCTGTAGTTGCCTGTAGAATTCTTCTTTCTTCTCGAGGTCTGCGTTGTTTGTGGGTGCATAACATTGTATGATTGACACTTTCCTTCCTTTGGAGTTGAACCTGGCGGTCATTATCCTGGACGAAATCGCCTCCCATTGTATCAGGGCTTTCGTTGCCGTTGGTGACATCATGATAGCCACGCCCTCGGTGTGCGTGTGGTTATCTTCTGGGTGACCGGAGTAGATCACTGACTCACCTGTTGACAATTTGGTGAGTCCACTCCCATTCCATCTGCTCTCACATATTCCCAGCACTTGTATTCCGTATCTTTTCATCTCGTTGGCGATCTGGGCAGCTTTCCCAGTCTCGTACATAGTTCGGACGTTCCATGTTCCTACACAGACTTTTTCTTTTGGTGCAAGGAGGTTCAACATACTGAAGTTTCTTTAGCAATTTTTGTTTACAGGGTGGGGTTGCTAGCCTCACGCCTGAGAAAAGAAAGACGCTCTTGCGTGTCTGAAATTGAAATTACCCACCACTTTGATATTCGGAGGGATTAAGGTCTTAAGACTGACGGGGACCCTGTGACTAATTTTCGTTGTTGATAAAAAGTTATTCATTTTGGAACAGTGTCACTGAGAAGAAGTATTCACAACCGGCATAGATAATTGAAATAGTTACCTTTTTTTAAAAAAACCTTGACAGCCTTCCAAGCTTCATACATTGTCGATGTCGCAACCCCGAATTTTTCTTCTGACCGAAAAACGATTCATTGGCTGACTAGTTTTCCGAAAGCTGACCCTAGCCCATGTCATTCTGTCTCTCCGATACCAGCGAGGAATAAGTTTGTTTATTATATTTTTGTGTAACACTGTGAAGTTTATGTAGCGATTAGATTCATTTCCCGTGTAGAGTTGCTAGTCCCACGCACTCTGTCTTCCTTCTTTTACTTCAGTTAGGACAGGTTAGAAAACTAGAGAACTATTAAACTAGACAAGATTTCTCAACACATCAGTTTGTAATTATTTTTTCATTGATTAGTTGGTGGGAACAAACAGTAGAATCGAGGATATACATTTCGCCTTATCTGGAACTAGTCGTTTTAGTGTACCTGTATCCAACGCACCCACGCCTCATGAGTGGATACTGTTGCTTCTAAAGCACTCTGATCCAGTATCTATAGTTTCGAAAGCCACTACTCAAGAACAGCAACAGTTTAAATATTATATTATTTCCAAAGAGATTATTGACTGAGGTGAAGGGAAGTCAATTGTGCTACTTATTGCCAATCTATAGTCTTTGCTGTGTGAATGTAGGCGCTACAGAGTTGGCAGTGGAGCCTAAATCACTTGCGAACTACAGCACCAACAGAAGCTAAAACACTAGATAATTATCTCTTATCATTGGAGTATGCAGACGCTGTTATGATGGTTGACTAGAGTTCCATCGTCTACTTTTGCCTAACTTCACATACTAGCGACTGTTTTATGTCTTTAATCTTTGCTTTGACATTGAAAAACAAAAAACCCAGTGAGTGCGTACTGATGATGACGTAGGAAACAGCTGACTGTCCAGTACTCCCAGTTTGTTTTCCAATGGTTCTCTAATCAATGCCATCTTATGATAAAAACCTGTGACCGATCAGTCAAATCCCTACATACCAATACTTGAAAAATAATTGCGACCCATTGAACTGAATAGATTGTCAGTCAAATCTCTGCCTTGTCAACTTCATCGGCTTTTAATAAGCCTTCGACAGCGTTTACCGTGAAGTAATATAGGCACTTCTTCAACAATACGGAGTGGCCTAAAACTTTATTGAATAGCTATGTGACAAGGCAACATGTGAAGTGATGCACAACGGGAAACTCAATGAAGCATTTGAAGTTGAGACATGAGTAGGATACGACTGCCTGCCGACTATCACCAGTGATATTCCCAATTGTGGTGGACTGGATTATGCGGAAGACAGGAGTATGCTGGACCGACAAGAAGGCTATAGAAGTTCAGGAATTTGTGGGAAAGACATGTATCTGATGTCACATAAACTTGGAGGTCTACAGGTGAAAATCAACACGTCTCCTCAACTTGTACGTCAGATCTATCTCAATCTTTGTCGACATATATTTCTTGGACAGGTCGTTGATAAAAAATTTCAGCTTCACGTGATGCTCAAAGTATCTGTGATCTGTGTAGAAACAGCGAATGATTCGTTTGTCTATCTGTTTTCGACATAGAATTTTGCACCGATATGCAGCAGTTCAAGTCGTGACACTCCATGTAGAACACAAAGCAACAAAAGAAAGGAGAAGAAATGCAGAATAGAGAAAGTAAACACAGATGCGAGACAAAGGAATAGTAATAACGAAGAACAATATAGTTTCATTGGAAATCATAAGTCACAAGGAGTGGATGCATCTGCACCAGCCAGCCATTGAAAACGATTTTGAGCCATATCACCAACGGTTTCCAGCTATTGGTTTTCACCGTCCCGAGGACCCCAGCCAGTCAGGAAGTCCACACATCCCGAAGTGACTGGCTTAAAGCTAACTGTTGTGGATTTCATTGACTGACGAAGCCATGTTTTGGTTTGACCATCACTAGTTAACTCTTTTCCAGCCTGACCTTATGTCAGCTAATATTGCGAACGATTCGACGCTGATTTAAAAAATCCGAATCATGTGCATTATCCTGTGTGTAGTAGAATCGTATATCATTGAGCAATGAAGTTGTGTCTTCCCTGTGTGTTTTACGATCCTGTCTGACTTTGGCATCTTCCCCCACCCCATTCCCCTTCTTCCTGTAATTGAGTTCTAACTCATTAATGTAACCTAGTCGCTGCTTTGGTTTTACTAGTTCTAACGAGTTTTACTTCTGTCTTTTTATTATATCAATTGTATAGATAATATTCATGAATACAAAATTGTAGGAATATGTAGACAAGAGGTTTTTAGTTGTTGTTGTTGTTATTATTATTATTATTATAAATCTATTTTTCTGATTCTAATCCTTACTCATCAAAAGGAGATGAACGACTTGAATCATTCTGCACTAATAATGTTGGATTGGATACATTACGTGATGTTGTGGAAGCGCTCACACTTCCTTTGAATTTTGATGAACGTCAAGGTATGTAGTATATCTCATACATGTGTCCGCCATTTTTTGTAAAAATATTTTCAACTACTGATTAATATATATAAATAGGCAATATGTTTTCTTAATATATGCGTAAGACATCGGCACTGTGGTAGTAAGTAATTCCATATTAGTTTGTTTATTAGATATATCACACAGTGAAACAGTATTATTTACTGGATGATGACGTTTCGAACACAATTTATTGTTCATAATCATATCAATTGTAATCACACGACTTCGAAACTTGAGTTTTATAGTTTTCTTTGTTTTCTCCTATTTGTCGTAGGGGTAGTAGAATTTTCGAGATATCTGGGACAGGTGTTGAATCATTCCTATTACATGTATTTACAGTTGATGAGGTAAATAAAGCTTCTGTTATTAATCTCTCCCTATACCGTGTGACCTTAGATTTTAAAACTGTCATCCTATCCCATCCTATTGTGTGGTTGTGTGTAACTGCATGCAGTGCTATAGCTGAACTATTCTCTAGATTTCTTATCTTATTTGGGTTAACCATTCTAGATTTTGCTGCTGGAATTTTATGTTCGGCTTGTCTGACTCACTTACCTTGTTCTACTACTTTGACCCATCTATGTATTTGACCCGACAATCATTGCAGGGTATTAGGTAAACTAAATTGCTTTGTTTTAAAAGCTCCACTTGATCTTTTAACCGACAAAGCTTGTTTCTAATTGAGTTTGTGGGTTTAAATGCCAGCCACTTTTATTCCCGCCTTGTTAAGAAATCTATGTGAGGTTTACGAGGTTCCTTCTTTGTATGGAATTACTACTGATGATTTAGATTCCTTATTGTTGGTGTTGTCATTAATATTATTATTATTATCTTTATTATGTTTTTATTTTCAAGGGGTAGTTTGTAGGGATTGTTATCAGTTAGAGAGAATCGGTGAAACACAGGCAGGGAGTACTGGACAGTCAGCTGTTTTTTCCTAGTTTGGAATTCATTGGCAGTAGGCATCTACTGGAGTTCCAACCCTAGGACCTTCTGATTACAAGGTGATCTGCATAATATAACGAATTGGTAAGGTTAGAATTCCTTGACTATTGGATAAGGTCCCAATGGTTGAATGGTCTACGAGCTTGGCTAGTAAGCAAAAAGTACTACGTTCAAAACTCTGGATTTACTGCATATGAGTAATCATGAAGAGTCAATACATCTGCTCTATTGAGAACAATTTCGAGCCATATCACCTATGGTCTCGAGCTAATGGCTCTTAGCAACACAAAGACTGCAACCATGCAGTCTACACCTCCTATCTGTCAGGTAGCACTTATTTTCAATTTTGATTTTGCTGATTGATGCCTCACCGTATTTTCGGTACAAGTATGGAATTTTTAGCATTTGATATCGGTAGCCCAAATTTTGCAGGCCGACCATAGATATCGGCTGTGCGTTGACAGGGGATCGAATCCCGGACTATGTGCATGGTCGGCGAGACTCCTAACCACTGTTCCACCGACGGCCTCTGAGGAAGGCGATGAGTAGGCATACATAAGACACGTCCTAGTCGTCTACATCGGTGTAATTTCATAATCTCATCGATTGACTTACTCTGCTCACGTAACACTTGACGCTTAACCACAATATATTATCGGCCACAAATGTGGGGTCAAATACAGCTTGCCTTTTCAATGGCCTTGTCACCCCGGACTATCATAAAGGGAGGATAAAGCGAACTGCTGAGTAGTACACACGTCCTCTGATTGATAGCCAGTTGAATATCACGTCTACGCCGGAAATAACGTCTATTGGCAAATACCACACGAGTTGTTTGTATCCCTGCTGAGATCCCGTCAGGAATCAGCTTGTTCATACAGATACATCTTCTCAAATAAATGAAGCGGTCAACGCGCTCTACCAGTTCACTCCTTATTTCTAAGCTAGGAGTCAGTGTAGTCCAGTCATGTAGCATCATCTTACATTTGACGGGATCTATTCGTATATCAAACATTCGCAGATCGCAGCTCTGCATTCCGTCAGCGTTTTCACCTAAAAGGTCTATAGTCATCTGCATATTCTAAGTTAACGAGATTATTCCCTGATTATAACAAATCAGTGCCTGAGACACTGAAGTCCGCATTTGGGTTCAATTCCATTAGTACATCTATGATGAAGTTAAACAGAAATGGGGACAGTGGGCATCCATGACGGACAGCACTAGTTGTCATCACTTCAGATGACAACTCTCCTTAGTTTCGCACCTGGCTGTCTGCATGATTTCGAGTAGATTGCCTCGATCAGTGAGATGTATTTTCTCGGCATTCCCTACACAGCCAAACATCACCATAATACTTCTTGTTCGACAGAATCTAATGCCACTTTCAGGTCAAGAAATGTGACGATTTTTGGACGCCGATGGCAAGTATGCCTATGTTCCAGAATCTGTTGAAGGATGGGTGGAGATGCTAACATCATACACCCTCTTCTGGTTTAAAGCCTAACTGATTTTCTGGTGTGTGTTTCCCCTGAATACCACTCATTCTACGCATTATTATTATGGAGCCTAGAACTTTAGATACTATATTAGTCAAGCTTCCTCGGTGAATTATCACAGGATGACTTATCTCCCTTCTTGTAAACTACATAATGTAGGCGTAGGAATTCTTTCGCCCAAATATCTCGAACCACCTAACAAACCTTTATCTCTGTTTAAGAATCGTAGATATTTTCTCTCAGGACTTTCTAATGATTGTTCACACACAAGCTGTTTAAATTTCGTTGTCTCAACTGATCGTACATGTTTATGTTTTTTCATTCATGAACCTTTTATTTACAGATTGTTTCGCACCATTATTTCACTCATCAGTCATGAAAATATCAAAACTACGCAAAGGTAGGCTAGTCAGTGGTCGAATAGAAAATGTGACAACATTTGGTGCATTCTGTGATATCGGGGTGGTAGAGAATGCCTATATTCCACAACATGCATACCCTCGAGGTGGAAGCGTTGGTGGTGACATGGTGAAACCGCCCGGATTATTACCTACTGGTTGTGGTGGTGCTAGTGAAGCAAAAACTGTGTTCACTTTACGTTTAGGTGATCGAATTAGAGCCACGGTAGCTAGTGTGGATGCAGAACATCATAGAATATCATTAGAAAATGTGGCTATTATACAGAATAATAAATGATCAATGTTGTATAAAGCGATGAATGATGTGCCTACTGTTTCGACAATCTATTCGTATTATTGGATACTTCTTGTTTCCTTTTTTCTATTTTTATTGTAGCCTTTTTAACACTATTATTTTTATTATTATTATTCACAATCATTGGTATTTTTCTGTAAAACAAACAATGAGCCTTTTTTGTATTGAAGAGATTTTGTTGTAAATTAATTGTTTGTTTTTTTAGGATGAAAAACACTAGCAGAAAAGTTACTGAGATCAGATTTGGAATGGAATGAATGCTCCTCCTCCTGCTCTGCAGTTCTCTTTTTAGCTGTCTTCACGATTGAACATAAGTTTTCCACCCCCGGCCGATTTGTCGTTTCGTATTCGGATTCTACTCGAGAATCTGCTTGATGTCATTCTAACAGTCTACTGACCGTTTGTATGTGTGTGTGTGTGTGTGTCGTATCCATCTGTCCAATCCCTTGGAGGCATATTGAACTGTACAATAGGTTCTTTGCACTGCAAGAGTTTCTTGTTGTTAAATGGCTTTCTGACCGGTCATCACAACTTCATTATGGATTCAACAAAGTGAATAGCTGTTGATAAAGATCTGCACCAACACCATATGTACTACTAATTCACTGAGATGAGTAGCTGTACTAAGCAGTAGTGGTTGCTTGCTAGCCAAATATCACTAGGTGACCTGAACACCTATGGTCGGTCATTTCGTGTGTTCAGGGTTCAGCATATCAGTGGTCTACACGATTTACCTCAGCTTAGAGAACTGAATCGATTTAAATGACTAGGAGTGGTATACTACCACTACTCATTTCAATCAATTAGTAGTAGTATGTGGCTTTACGCATTTATGCTGCATTTCTTGGTCACTTTTTATGATATCAAGCAGATCATGCACACATTATGATCTGAATAATTGCGGTTATATAAAGGAAACTGTGTGATGCAAATTTTACCACTGAAATTGTATACATTACAAGTTGATTGATTTAAAAAATTGTTTGGAGGGTTTCATCATGAGCTGACATCAATTAGGGAATCACTATTATTTTATTTAAACGCATAAAAACTTGGTATAATATGGTACCAAGAAAGATGTGCCACACAATAATAATAAAACAACAGATCAAAAGAAAAAAATACAAGTAGAGAACGGATAAAGAACTTCATCTGGAAGGAAGACAGTCATGCTTAACAAGTGCAAACAGTGTTCGTTAACTACCATCGGGAAGCGAAGAACGAGGAAATTGCAACACATTCGCCAATGATTACGATTCTTGGCCATATCTAATAACGTTTCGAGCCGTCGATTTGAGCTATCTCTTGGACCCCAACCAGGGAGTCGTGACACACCAACCGACGCTAATCTAGCACAAAAATCCATCCCACGACGACACGTCAAGGACTGACCACCTTTGACAGCCAGGCTAACGTCGCGACGGAGCCAGAGGTGGCTCAAGTTGATATATGCCACCCTAGCTTTCATTATACAGTTGGAAATCTCATCCGTCACCCCTCCGCCAGCACTCACACAACTACCCAGGTACACAAACTTATCATCAAATTCAAGCGGTTCACCCGCAACAGTGAGTGCAGGTACAGGCTCCTGCCAATCTTGTAACAGTACTTTGCACCTAGATGGCGCCTAACATATACCATACTTACAGACACTGATGGCCAACTGATTAAGTGAAATTTGGGCATCCTGCAAGCTATCGCACCGCAAGACGATATCGTCTGCATACTCAAGGTCGAAAAGTCTATCTCCAGGTAGCAGACCTACACCACCTTCACGCACATCCTTCAGAGCTGACTCCAGAATGTTATCGATGGCAAAGTTAAAGAGAAATGGAGAGATTGGGAAACCCTGTCTAACCCCACTGTTGGTTGGGAACAGTGATGATAGTTGTTTGTATGCCCTCACTCTACCTGAGGTGTTTCTGTATATGGCTTTCAAGATGTTAAGAAATTTATCAGGTACACCTCTCTCTAACAGACAGTTCTAGAGCACAGTTCTGTCCAATTAATCGAAGGCAGCCCTAATATCAAGAAACACAACGATCGTTGGCCTACAATACGTGTGGCGGTGTTCCAACAACTAACGAAGGGTGAACACATGATCAATGTTTCCGACGTCCTAGTTTGAGACTCTTCATCAGTAAGTAGCCACCGGGACTCGAACTCAGGCCTTCTGGTTACGAGGCCAGCGATCTCGTAGACCATTCAGCCACTGGGACCCGACCCAGTGACCAGCCCATGATTAATGCCAATTGGTATGATCAACGGGAGCGATTTAACAGAATTTACTTCCTGCACCTACCTAGCGAGGCATTGTTTCAACTTCATTACACTGAAATCAGTGTGAAAATCTGCAACACTCCAATGCATATAGAGGGATATTTAGATCCTTTACCACCAATGTCTATACATGGATGAGAAACTTGGTGTGTGTGTATGTGTGTCATGAAAAGCATGCGAAATAGGGTGGGGACTATTATCAACAACCACCTTCGCTGGCTCCACACTAAAAGTAAGATGACGGGCCAGAAAGAATCAGCAATGTAGAACTTTGGTAACAAACCGATGGAGTACCTGTTATTTCCAAACTATTCTAAGGACAATGCAGGTGGCTTGTATACACACTGAGGAGACTGTCTAGTGTGACATCGCACGCCAGGCGACCGGTCGAGTGGAACCTGGATAAGTGACAACGCGTCAGAAGTGTGACATGGATGAGATTGTGTAAAAATTAGATCACAGATTATATTCTGTTATTGTATTGTTCACCTTGTGGCCAGATGAGACGAAAGGATTAAAAAAAGAATTAGCTCAAATAATCTTGGTGATATTTTTCGGTCTTGGCTTATTCAATTTTACTAACTAATTAAAAGAAATTTGTTATACATAATAATTTTGCAGATAGATGATAACACAGTTATTCTGAATGCATGAATTTTGTCATCTTTGATTCCAACTAACACACCTGCGCTTTCCTAATTGTTAATGACCTTAATATTATTTATAAAAAGCCAAATATCTCATTCGGTGATTTCATTCTCAAAAGCTGTACAATCGCATTTATATAGATTACTTTACATGGATACAATTATTATTTGTTTAATTCCACATAGTAACCAAGGTGATAATAATTTTCAACTCGATATGAAAGTTTGAAGGTAATAATAATAAGCTTTATTCCAAAACAGTATTTGCGAATGCAGAATGGAATTCTCACCACTTTACTACAGTATTGCGTCCAGTTAGTACATTATCAATCAAGGGAATTCTACATGGATTAAGGAAATATCAGTTCATTATGACAACAACATATTGGCATTTCGATCGCAAAGCCAGGTGTTAGAAAAGTAGATACTAGCATATTTACTGGTGTAAGCAGAAGAAAGAAACAAAGCAGCACATAACATGGAAAAAAAGTGAAAGATCAAAGGAAAAGAAAGAAAACGCACTCATAAAAGATCTGAATTGGAAAGACGGGATTCAGTTGTTCTACTGACTATTTAATACGTTATAGGTATCACGCCTAATGCTTTCTTTATCGCACAGAACACGAGCTAAGTAGGGTATGGCTGAGTTTTTGTACTTGCTGGTGCGAGCATATAGTTTTTTATATAGGCCTCTGGTTTTGACTGAAGAGATACAAGGGGAGAGTTGTGAATAGAGAGGATGTTGTTAGTTACATAAAATGGATTTTGCCCATTTTTCACATGAGTCCATGTGTCTATCAACCAGAATATTAACAAGCTGGTTAAGTGGCACGTAGCTTACCCTGCTTACAACCTTCAACGTCCTGCGTAGTAAGGTATAGTCTTTCTTCAGTAGCCCTGGAGAAACTAAGGGGGAACAATAGAGAATAATAGGCAGAATGCGGGGGTCAAAGAATCGTAGGAGTAAGGGTTGGGTTATTCCAAAATGTCTTAACTTCTTGGTGTAGAAGGTAAGAGGGAATATTTTTTTTAGAAATCATCAAGATATGAGACGACCAGGGAAGATCAGCAGATAGAATGACGCCTGGGTATTTAATTCTTGACTTGGTTTCTATCTCAGCGCCATCTATGTTGCACACCTCGTGAGTGCTAACCAGTTTTTTTAGGTTAGATTCGTGCCTAAAGGTGAAATTGACTGTTTGACATTTGGAGGGATTAAAGGTGAGACCGTTTTTCTTGGACCATTGGCTGACTTCTGATAAGAAGCCATTTAGTTTAGAGCATCACTTTGACATTTGACAGGCAAAGATACAGACAGGTCATCCGCATATTTGACAAAGTTAATGTCATTTGAAGATGGTAGGTCATGTAGAAAGAAAGAAAAGAGAAATGGGGAGAGTACAGCACCTTGGGGGACACCAACTTCAGTGAGCACAGCAGAGGAGGATTCCCCTTCGTATACCGTATACTGCATTCTGTTTGAAAAGTAGAAATGCAACCAGTTAGTGACCCAGGACTCAGTTAGTGTCATCGAGAGCTTATTTAGCAAGGGGCATCTAAGTACAGAGTCGAAAGCAGAAGTGAAGTCGAGGAACGTGCAGTGAACGTATTTTGCACCTTTATCTAGTGATGAGACTATACTGTTGTGTAAGACGGCTGCATCATCTGACGTGCTCCTGCCCTGTCTATATGCAAATTGTTTGGGGTCTTCAGAGCATTTAAGGGAGAGTTCAAGTTTAACAAGTACTAGTTTTTCCATAGGCTTTAGAAACGGGGAAGGAATGACTGGGTCTGAACTTTACGTTCTTGATATTGCCAGGTTTAGGGACAGGGAATATTTTAATGTCTTTCCATGGAACTAGTACAAAGGTTTTAGAGAAAGAAGCATTTAGGATGTTAGTTAGTGGAGAACATAAAGCATCTGCACATTATTTTAAAACATATGCAGGTATATCATCAGGGTCAAGACTACATGAGGGCTTAAGAGTTTTAAGACATTTTAGAACGTCAAGAGTATTAAAGTCATAAAAGCTATGAGCTACATGATTAGTAACGTTAGAGGTAGTTATAGGAGAATGAGAGCGTATAAAAGACTCATTAAGAGCGTTAACATCATAAGAGGGAAAAACATTACATCGCTTACTATTGCCAGTAATTTCATTGAAAAGTTTCCACATGCTGATAGGAGATTTGCATGATAAAAGTGTTTGGTTATACATAGCATTAAGATTTTCGATTTGATTAGAGCACTAATCTTTTTAAGTCCTAACTTATCTTTGGATTTATATGATGTTTCTTTTTGCCTGCGAAGTTGTCTGAGATGAGGAGACGA